TGCAATTTTAAGTTGTCAAATAATAGTTTAGAATAACCATAGTCATCCTATGAGGTGTTTTTAATTCTTCTGATTATATGGTGTTTGAAATAAGTACTGAATCTCCCAGGTACAATGCATTGATTTTTGAAGCTATTTCTACCTTAAAGGAGCCCAATGGATCTGATGTTTCTGCAATTCTCAGCTATATTGAGGTGTGACTGAATTTTCATTCATCTTTTTTTTTTTTTTTCTTGTGTATCAGTATTTGGTGATTCCTAGTGGATGGAGCTATATATTTGGACAAGGAATTAACATCTTCTGCTGGATGCTAAAAAGTTAATAGGCATATTAAAATAGAGTTAGGATAATTGCCACTGCTCTCTCCTATTTTTCCACCCTCGTTTGATATTGTTTCTAATAATACTCAAGATGTAGAGTGTAACTGAATTTTCTGTGTCAATGGTTTGTCTAACTCTTATTGCTGTTGTGACATTTAGAGAAAGTGCTGTTAGAAAATCTCACAGATAGTGGATTATGTCTGGATATGTCATTATTCCCCTTAAAGGTTTTATTCCTTCACTGAGAGGGTTTCTGGGTTCATGCTTGACCTATTAGTTTTCTGCTAGGCCTGGCAAGTTACCTGAAAATGTTAAATAAAATATCTTGCATCTAAGCACACAAAGAACAATTTTACTGTCATGCAGATGAGGAAGGATAGCTGATACCTGAAATATGAATGAAATGAATGTAGATTTCTTACTTTTCTGATAATGTAATCCAGCTTCTTTGAAGACTAACAAAGGACACCAAATTATAACAATGGTTCACTTATAAGTCTTGAGTGAGATACAAAATTGCTACAATCTTACCATTTGTGAGGTTTTACAGGGTTTTCACCATCTTCACATATCTTATTAATCCCTGTTTATAGGTTTAAACAAAGTGATGGGAAAGAAAATGCTAAATTCAAATGACAAGTATCTTGTTTCTTTGATAAATTTTGCAGCAAAGGCTTGAGGTGCCACAAAATTTCAGGAGGCTGTTAAGTTCAAGGCTGAGAAGGTTGGTTGCGCAAGAAAAACTTGAAAAGGTTAATGTCTTTATCTTTTATTTGCTGATTCTTTTTACAATAAGATTTTCATACCTTTCATTTCTTTTTTATTTCTTATTTTTTTTTAAAAAGAGTGCCATATTGCTGAAGTTCAATGATTGATACTTTTCTTTTCATTCGTTTTGCTTTAGTGTAATTTAATGACTGATTTTACTATTAGACGTCGCTTATTTTCCTATTTATCCATCTTTTACAGCAGTCTATCATGTTAGATCAAGTTATTTATGTGTAGGATCTGTCAAGTACCTTGAACTTTCTGGTTGCCTCATTATAGTATAAAAAATTATTATTGAAGATGAGAAATGTCTGGGTCATAATCTAGATTTAGAAATTAATACCTAATATTCCACCTTTAAGTTATTTAACATTAGATTTCAAAAAGATGTGTAATATAAAATCTTTTCTGTTCAAAATCCCTGGAGCTAACTGGAGGACACATCATGAGGTTCATGATGACCTTTAAAAGTCTCTAGCCTCTGCAATAGACAATGAGGTGAATTCATCTATAGGGCCCTAGCTAGACCGCCAGTTCCTTTAAATGGATATTTGATTTCCCACAATGAACTGCTCAGACAGTCAATGCCAAATTTGGTGCTAGAATAAAGGCTTGAAAAGATATTGCTTATTGGTGCTTATAGAAGACTTTACAATTTCCTTTGTCTTGTTCTGTAGAATAGGAAGTTGATTTTCTCCAACTTACTAAGTGATCTACGAAAATTGTGGCCTTTGTGAAGTATTCATTATACTTTTTGAGATCTAATTTTGATTTGTGACCTCGCTCATTTTTGCTTCACCATTTCTTAGATGAAGATAGGGATAATGGAGGTATGGTGCAATAAGATAGATAATTGGTTTATCTACTGGCAGTTCACCCCTCTACTGATAAAGACATGTATTATTAGAAAATGGATTCTATATAGATGAAGATAGGGATAATGTAGGTATGGTGCAATAAAATAAATGGAGAGAAAATATATGGAATCCTTTTTTCGTGTATGCCACAAGGTTTTCCTAATACATGGAATTACTAGTAATTTCTAGTGATTTGCAGTCTTTGTTTCTCTCTTGGCAAAACGTGACAATATATTGCAGCTACATATGCTAGGCAAGAGAAGTGTTAGATGAGCAAGGAAATCAGTTTATGGAATTTGTGAAAATGAATACCATCAGCAGGCTTTTGTACACAACATATCTAATACCATATCTTTTAGCTTTTAGGCAAGGATGGAATACTAAACCTTCTAGTTATTACATGATTGGACTGCAGGTCCAAAATTGCTTCAAGATAAAGGAAGAAGCTGTGTCAGGAACACAAACACCTATTCCAAAGCAGAAGGATATCCGGCCTAGGCCATTGCAGAGCACTAACCATATATCCTCTGCCGATACAGTAGAAGCAGCAGCAGCAGCTGCAGCCAGTCAGATTTCTGATGCTGAAAACAAGTCTTTTGTGGCAGCCGAAGCAGTTAAAGAGGCAGAGAGGATTTCAAGGATGGCCGAAGACACAGATTCACTGCTTCAGTTGGCCAAAGAGATTTTTGAGAAAAGTAATATTAGAATTACTTTTTTGCTTCTACTTATTTAATTTTTTGTCATTGCATTTCTATGTTCTATGTATTCATTCTTTTTTTTCTTTTTTCTTTTTTTTTTTTAATAACAGGTTCACAAGGTGAAGTTGTGCTTCTGGCATATTGATTCAGTTCTTATCGATTAGAGAGATGACACCTGCAAATGCAATTAGCCTCTGTAAATATTGCTTAGTGTTTGATTGTTGTTTTTGATGGGTGTACTGAAGCTAATTGCATGGCTGGTTTTATGGTAATCATTTGTTCCATCAAACTTTTCAAATAGGGTGCAACAATATTGGTTTTTTTTTTTTTTTTTTTTTTCTTCTCCGAATAAGTTTATACGGTAACTCCACAAGATAGCAGAATCAGATTTTTTAAAGTGTTTTGTATACTTCTGAGTTAGATTAATATACTTTGGGGTTTTGCAAAATTAGCCCCTTTCATTTACTTGGTTCACTTTGATTACCACTACAAAGTTGAGCATGAGAATTCATAAAAGCGAATACTGTTAACAAATAGCCATTTCTCGTTTATTATTTATTTGGAATGCTGAAATTGTCATTGGTGAGATTTTGTTATTACTTGGTCAATAGTTTCTGGGTTCCATATACTGCAAGGATACAATTTGATATTGGCTCTATTTGGAGGAAAAGTAGGTTTATGATCAAGCATGAAGCACTGACCTACCGAAGTAGGCTACCAACTTACAGATTTTTCTGTCTGCCAATAATTTTCTCTTTTATATCCCTGTGAAGATTCTTATAAATTGTTTTCTGTCAAATATGAATTTCATAAAAATATGGACGAAGAAGTAGATTTACTACAAATCTAAGGCACTGTATAAACCAAAATACCACTTGAGAATGGTAATCGAAAGAGGAATGTAGTGATTTCGAAGTGCTGGATAATGAATCAACTCCCTACCTGACATGACTCAGTAGTTTAAACTGTTTCGTACGAAACAAAGCCAATGGCATATTAGTCAGCCAAAAATCTAAGCTCGAGGCTCGATTTCTTTATGTAAGAAAATCCATTTCCTAAAGTTAGAAAAATTTCGTGAAAATAAAGCATTTAGATGTAGTAAATCCAAAGCACTATTTCACTGCAGGGTTATGTCTCTGTTTTAAAAACCGGATCGGACCGGCCAGTCCGACCGGGACCCAGCAGCTTCTCCGGTCCGATTCAGGTCTTAGGGGGTTTTTGTAATATTTCAAAATTATAAGGGTTACTTTGTAATGTTATAGGGGTGTTTTAAAGATATGTCAAAAGTTTATAGATTAATTGGTTATTTTTTGGGGTATTTTTTAAATAAATAAAATTTTTAGGGACTAATTAACTTTTTTAGGGGAATTTTTGTAATGTATTAAAATTTAAGGGATTAATACTAATTTTTAAAAAATAAAATTGTCGCTGATATCATCGATCCAACCGGTTGACCTGTGACCCGATCAGTAAAACAGGTTACTCTCCAATCCGGGTTTTAAAATAATGGGTTATGTAGGTACTATAGTATTTGAGAGTGGCCATCGAAAAAGTAAGCACGAAGATTCAAGAGGAATTGGAGGGGGTAAACAGATCATACCAATTTTTCTTTATTCAAATTCAAATTAGTTTCCTACTTCATTGATCATTAATTAAAAACTTTATATATGATTTTTAACTTGAAAACCTATGCTAGAAAAAACAATGGGACTATAATTTCACTTTAAAAAAATAAACTATACTATACACAACATGTCTTAGTCAAAACTTACTTATAACTAAAACTACCGTGCTAAAATGCTTATTGTAGTGTTTATCAATTTTGAAGATAATTTTATTTACTTAATTGAACTATGTACCATAAACTGTCTTTAGATAGTTTGACGGTTCGCTTAGGACTCTTAAGTGTATTACTTAAGAGGTTTTGAGTTCAAATCCTTACAACTACTAATAAGAGGTATTCATTACAGGTTTACTTAGCCATTAACTTCAGGGTCTTAGATGACTAGTTAAGGTGCGCACAAACTGGCCTTAACACCCTTAGATACAAAAAATAACTATGTACCATAGACTTAGATAAGATAACTCATCATCAATGAATAAACTGAATTTTAAGTTTTTGGTTTGTAATTGTAATTATAAATTTAACAAGTTTGGGGTTATATTTTGGTTGAAGGGTAAAAACGTTATTTACAAATTTCCGCTAATTAACAGAAAAGGGTGTTTTAAATTTTTAATTATGAATTATTTTGTCAAATCTGTGGGATATACGATAACGCCGTTTCTCATATTTGAAGAAATTTGGTATTAACCCATTCATTTATTGAAAACCGGCATCTAAACTTACATTCAGTCATCCTGCAGCTCAGCGTACTTAGTGTTTCGCCAAGTTTCTGAAACACGCAAGTCATTAAGATAAAAGAAGGTGGAGCCGCAATGTGTGGAGATGCGACGAACTGGGACGAAAATGCATACAGAGAAAGCATACTTAAAGAGAGAGAGATCCAGAGCCGCACCGTTTTTAGAACCTCCTGGAGCCCCTCTAACCCTAGCCCTGACACCATCGTTGTCGCCTTCAGCGATGGTTCAATTGCCTCATACTCTATCTCCTTCATCATCTCAGAACTCGTCAGTCCACTATCTCTTTAACTTTTTTGTAAAAACATATATTTTTTTTAAATAAATATTTACTGATGAGTTTGGTTTTTGGTTTTTGTTGTGTTTTGCTGCAGTCATTGGGTTTTAGTAATAGCAAGGCTCAACAGTAAGTACGCATTGATTTGAATATTTGAGTATATAGTAGATATTTGGTTTATTAGGACTGATTTATGGTTGCCATGGAACTTGTTTGTTGCGTAGATTATTAGGAGCTGAACCTAGTGGATATCTTCAGGGGCATGATGGACCTGCCTATGATGTTAAATTTTACGGTGATGATGAAGATGCATTGTTGTTGAGGTTCGATTCGATTTTACTTTTATCTTTCCTTCTTATTTTTCAGTAGTAGGTAGTCAATGCTGTATTATTTGGGAGCTTATGTCATGAATTGGGCATCTTAAAATTTTCGAAGTTTATACTACTATTATTCTTTTGTGTTTGTTTCCATATTTGATATTTGAAGAAATTATGTTTGTTAAGCAGTGCTTAGACTACCTCTATGTTAACGGGATGATTCAGTTTGAGCACCAGGCTTTAGCTTAACTTAATCACGTGTAAGAATTTGCTGGTATTGAAGGTTGGGATTGCTGACAAAAATATCGCTTGTTTATGGCTCTACTAGTCTAGTGCTTTCTTGAGTTCACCATGTCAATACTGATGGTTTTGCATTGAAATTGTTATTGAGATGTAAATTATTCACACACATATACATATAGGATTGTTTGTAGCTTTTAATTTATTAAATGGGAATAGTGGTGTTGATTGAAATATCACCTATATGTCATGCAGTTGTGGTGATGATGGTCGAATTTGTGGATGGAGGTGGAAGGAATTTACAAAATCTGAAGTTCCTATTCATTTACAAGGTAATAGATAAGTGAAGTATTACTGATTTCTTAATAGCATATGTTTAAACTATTGAATTATCTTCATTTTATCAATTTTGCATGTCCAAAATCTGTATTCTGCTCTGTACTTCTAGTTGCTATATGCTAACCATTACAATGATTATTGTTGTATTTTCTGTTAGTGTGCAATGTCTATTTCCTATTAGCTATACGTGTTGTCCAACTGATTATTTATTTTTTCTTTGTTGAACATAGAGTTCTTACTTCAGGAGGATATCTACATGCTTAACAGTGCAATTTTAACTTTCTTTTTATAGAGTTCTTTGTCAGTGCCACCTATGGTTTTCTAAAAATAATTTTAAGCACTCCTACTGTTCTTCATGCCTGCAGTTTCTTCTGTCTACTTTTTCCTTTAACAGCATTACTATATCAGTTCAGTTTGTCAAAGTTGAATATCCTTTTATGTGAGTTGTCTGTGTGCTCTTTATTTATTATTGGTGGATAAAAAACGTGATTCATTTGCTCTTATGTTCTGCATGTGCAGGAAATCATGTGAAGCCAGTTTTGGACCTGGTGAATCCTCAACATAAGTGAGTCATTAGCATGATATTAAATAAGCTTTCATACGTCATCAAGGTTTCCCGTTAGTGGATACTGAAAGGAGTGTGCTTTATCATTTCTCTTATTTAAAGAATGATACCTTCTTTCTCTACTTTCTTTAGAAATTACTAACCTTCCACTTACTTTCCTGCCACATACCTTACTTCACTTGTTGTATCTTATTTCCACTTACTTTAAGATTGAGAATTTGTGTTTGGTGACACACAAAGCTTGTAACTTATTAGCTTTGCTCTTGCCTAATCTTTGTGTATTTAGTTGCTTAAAGAGTCCCTTTCATAAACTTATATATTTTTGTGTCCAGAGGTCCTTGGGGTGCTCTTTCTCCAATTCCTGAAAACAATGCCATTGCTGTTGACCCTCAGGTTTTTTCTTTTCTTTAATCATTATAGCTTTAGTCTATATGTTAATATTGCTTTCATAACAGGGGGTTACGGAAGGAATTCTCCTGGTAATTATTAGTTTTTAAAATGTCTTTGTTTTCAACTTTTCAATAGGGGGGATCCATTTTTTCGGCAGCAGGTGATTCTTGCGCATATTGCTGGGATGTGGTATGTATTTGCTCAAGGTGAACATGTTTCCCATGTAAATAAGCTTCCTTAGAAGTAATTCCAATTTTTATCCCTTGTAGAATATCTTGAAATGGTCTTGAATTATTTTGCTAGCTGCACTGATTTTCAATTCTTCTCTGCTGGAGTTTTTCAGGAGAGCAGTAAGATCAAAATGGCCTTTAAGGGGCATTCAGACTACTTGCATTGTATAGTTGCCCGCAAATCCACCAATCAGGTCTACTTTTCTTTCTTTATTCTTAATGAGAATCTTTCTCCATTGGTTGTTAGTTTTCGTGGAATTACAATATCAAATTGTTTGGTTTTTGACCCATTGATACATAATGGTTTCTTTTAAGGGCAGTGAATTCATTGACTATTTATAAAGCTACAGTTATCCTATGCACTTGAACATTATACCTTTTCACTATTGACATTAACATATTCAGCAGTGTGCTAGAGCTATGAGGTTCAAATATACTGTCAACTTCTTTTTCTTACATTAACCTTTTTCACTTTTCAGATTGTAACTGGTTCAGAGGATGGAACTGTACGAATATGGGGTAAAAGCTGGTCTTCATAATTTTCAATAAACTATAGCAGGAAACAGGTGTTGGATATTAGAACAATTCTATTATCAACTGACACATTGATGCACCAAAGTCAGCACCACCAACATAAATTTTGTTGGAGTTTATATTGATATATGATGCATAATGAGATAATTAAGCAATGAAATATCTTTAGTATAACTATCCACCACATTTTAGATATAGCAATTATACTGGAATGAATTTGTCTTCATGAAATCTCTTATTTTTCCTGGATTTTGGTGGAATCGTATATTTAATTATCTAGGCAAAATTGATGTGCTCAGTGGCTTATTTATATGTTGTCCTAGATTGCAAAAGTGGAAAGTGTGTTCAAGTAATTGATCCTGTGAGGGATAAGAGGTCAAAAGGATTCATTTCATGTGTTAGCTGCATTGCCCTTGATGCAAATGAGAGCTGGTTGGTAAGCGTTCAAGAAAAAGTATTACAGTTTTCATTTGCATTTGCATTTCTTTAAATGGTGTAAATTGGCATATCTTATAATAAATATTCCACCAGGGTAACTATGTCTAGTGTAGCTTGTTGACCATTGTGGTGTCAATGGTAGTTCTTTACTCAGAACATAACCTTGTTGATTAAATTCTTATTTTCACAGGCTTGTGGCAGTGGTAGAAGTTTATCAGTTTGGAATCTCCCCGCTTCAGAATGTGTTTCAAGCATTTCTAGTCAAGCGTCCATACAGGATGTAACATTTGAAAATAATCAAGTGAGTGAGAAGAAATTGGGCTGATCTTGAACATATTTAACATTTTCCTAGAGAAGGTGCAAGGAATATATGCAATCTTGTGTGGGTCTATATAACTTTAAAAAGCATTAGTGTGCAAAAAAAGTGGCAGAAGGCTGATTCAAACATCAAAGCACCTTCTAGCTCCACTTGGCCTAAAGTATGTGTGAATAGATGTTTTCTAAGTTGAGCTGTTGTCTACTACTTATTTGGGAACTCTTATCAGAAATAAAATGTAATGTTCCATGAAGTGGTTTGTGTTGCCGGCTTGTATATTTATTTTCTTCTCTTTACATTAATTTTTCTTATCTTGTCTATGATTTTAAATTAGTTGTTTCTTAATTGTTTTCTGATGAGCCAGTTTCTGGTTACTAACACCTGTCAGTATATACTGTTGATCTCTCTGCCAGTTTGTATACTATTGTACTTTTAGAAGTATCTTGGTGTGTGTAGCTTTTTATTTTTTCCTTCTAATAATTATTGTATTACTGTTACAGATTTTAGCTGTTGGAGCAGAACCTCTACTTAGTCGTTTTGACATAAATGGGATGATACTTTCGCAGATTCAATGTGCTGCACATTCAGCATTTTCTGTCTCTTTACATCCCTCTGGTGTATGATCCCATTTAACTTACGTTTCTCTGTATCTTTGATTCACTTCTATTATTGTTCTTTTTTTTTCTTAAAGTTTTCATTTCCTTGAATATTATTATTATTTTTCATGTCAGCTTGATATGAATGTTCATACTATTCTATCAATTGTTCAGTTTTGAGTCTACTTGTTTCTACTTCTTTATGTGATAAGAAATGATTAATTGTTGTAAACCCCCTGAGGTATCCCTAATTTACGATGAACCCCTAAATTACGTAATAACCCTAAACCCCCTGCTTTTTTAGTGATTGTTAACGGAATCAACCCCTGCTGCTAGTGAGATTAGGCAAGTTTGCTTGGATACGCTAACGAAATCACTAACCATTAGGGGTGAAAGTTCAGGGCCGTCTCTAGAACATTTGTGACCCTAGGCAGGAGTTATTTTGAGGCCCTCTAATAATATAAGCATGTATTAAAAAAATTATTTTTATTTTATTTTATTTTATTTTTGTCTTTTGAGATGAAAAATCACTAGGAGAGGTGGATAGCAATCGGCAGGCTAACAAGGTTAGGTTGGTGGGGGGTTTTGGAGAGTAGATGTTAGAGAAGTGATAGGTGGTGAAATTGGTGATTTTCAATGCCAAGATTGATAAGAAAATGCTTGAGAAGTCACGGGTCAAAAGTTATCGATGGTCGGCGATTGGCAGAGTAAACGGATAAGGTATATAGGGGTTTTGGTGAGAGGGCTGAGGGGAGGAAGATGGTGGTGTTGGGGAAGGCCAACAATATCGAGTACATGCCAAAAAGGCTGGAACTGGTTGTCGTGTAGTGGAGTTGGGTTGCGAGATTCATCAAAAATTTGTCAAATCGAGGGCTATCAAAGTTGGGAAATGATAAAATGATGATTGCGGTCAATTTTGGTGAGAAAATCGATCGGAGCTGGGGGGGGGAGAAAGAAGGAAGGGGAGGGGGGGGGGGGCGGGGGGGGGAGGGGGGGGAAGAGGGAGGGAAAATATCGGGGGAACCAAAATTGACCGAATTAACTCCAAACCACGTGGCAGAAGAGGGTTGGAGATGATTTATGTGAATGTCAAATTGGGATTGAATTGGGAGTGAGTAATTTGAGATATGTAATGACTATTTTAGTCTTTCATTGTTAAAAGAGATTCAATGTGTTAATTTAGGGGTATAAACTATAATTATAAACTAGAGGTACAAACTTGCTATTTTGTTAAACTTTGGGTAGAAATATATGTAAAAAGTTTATAATAAATTTAGGCTTTTTTGGCTTTTTTTTTGGGCCCTTTGGCTTAGATAAGAAATTATAAACTATTTTCATTTTTGTAAGATATTCAAAAAAAAAAAAATTTAAAAAATTTGGGCCCCCATTTTTTGGGGCCCTAGGCAGGTGCCTCACCTGCCTACCCCTTAAGCCGGCCCTGGTGAAAGGCTATTAGGTCTACCTCAGGGGATTTACAACTGTTAACCCTGATAAGAAACTGAATCTGGTTTTTACTAGTTTCAATGTCGTCTTTTGTGTGTACCAGGGGAAAATAACATATGCAGTACATTGCCACAGTAGTTACAAGTGCAGCGGGTTCGAACCCCTCTATATGTGGACCTAGTTACATTATGCCCAAATCCGTTGTTTCTGTTTGATTTCGCTTACAACCATTAAAGTGATAGTATATATAGATTGATGTAGGTAGATGGATGGATGGATGGATGGACTGACATCCTTGCCAGTAGAGGTCATCTGTTACTGTGATATTTGCCCACTAAAATCCAGAGCATGCAAATAATATGCAGAATGTGTACACACATTTGTTATGATTTATGGATTTCAGTAACTGCATCTGGCTCCTTGATACTTTTAACACACTTTAGTTAGTTCCACAGTATACTTTACCATGGCTATTATTGCTATGCTGTTAGTCCATTATTTATATAAAACTGATCTGATTTGCTTCTTATTTTGCGGAAACCATTTTTCTGAACAGGTTACTGCAGTTGGAGGTTATGGAGGTCTTGTCGATGTCATCTCGTTGTTTGGAAGTCATTTGTGCACATTCCGCTGTCAAGGCATATAAATGTTATTGATGTTAATGGCATGCTCTTTAAGATACCGGTAAGTAACTTGCAAAAAGCCTTAAACATTAAAAGGTTGGAAGCATCCTGTTAAATTTAGCTGTTTTGCCTGATTTGTCAAAGAACCCTGGTAGTTGTTTAATATAATAACATTACACAACATATAATGTCAGTATTTTTTACAACAATTAAGCAGTTGGATAAATCACCTCACAAGGAACAATTTGGTGAGGTTTAGTTTGGTTGTAGGAGAGATTTGACTTCTTACTCTTACTGCAAAACATCGCCTTTTTGGTTGATGAAACTTACTGCTAAACATCGCTTTACTCTCACAAGGAACAACTAGAAGGGACACTGGATCTTATCCAGTGCTGGTGATTGACAACGATTGACGTCCATTGACCAAAATGGATAGTTGAGAAGCAGCAGCGATTCTGAAATGTGATATAGTTTGGTTGGGATTTGGATTTGGTTATATGCTTGAAGAAGGAATTTTGGAGGAAGTAACCGTATTTATAGGGACCTAATGAAAACAACCAATATCCAACTGCACTGTACGCATTAACCAAGTACATGTTTGGAATTGATGTAGCTTTTAGTTGGGGGGTACCAAAAGTATTTGGTAAATTGTTTTTTTAAAAGAGATTATGATTTAATTTGATTGGATCTAAAAATCAATTTTGTGAAGGAATTTCAAAAGAAAGGTAGCATTTTAAAATTAAAAGTAATTTTTTAATTGATTTTATACATGTGCAATATTAAATATATCCAAACCTAAAATAAACAATTATCAAATAAATTTATATTAATTAATTAAGTAAACCAAAGATGTAAAATTTTCTATATGAAATTAAAAAGAGATTATCAAACTATAGCCATTAAGAATTTCATGGGGTTTTAATGCTCTACAAAATTAATCGGAAACGTGATCATTTTTATCTAACCAAAAGCATCAATTTAGCAAGGTTCTAAAGAAAACATCTATCGCAGAGTTGGGCTCAATTGAGGCCCATAAAATGTAGATGCAACTGTTATTGCTGAACCGGCTAACTCGGGAACAAGGGCAAATACGTAAACACATAAGAGACCGAATTCCTTGTTTGAGAAGGTGAAGGAACCCTCGCAGACTATAATAACTCCACTAAACTGCTGCCTCTCACTCGCTTTGGCTATTTTCTCAAACACGATCGTTCCTTCCTTAACTCCACGGAAAAGATCCGAGGAGTTTGGGAAAACCCTAATTTCATCTAAATCAACAACCTCTTCTCAATTACTCTCTTTTTTCGTCTTCGATCTTCACCGATCAGTACCAGGTCAATTTCTTCTCTCTCATTGTCATTGATCCAGCGGTTATTTTCATCTGATCGACTTTGCTTTCTTTTTATTATTTTCGATTTTTCATGCATCGCTGTAGATATATGATTTCGTATGCGGTTTTCGCTTATTTTTTACGAGTTAGAGAATTGGATTTAATGACCTGACAATATGTTTCTTTATCGGATATTTCAGCTTGATTTGTGGTCGATATTAGGTATTAATTTCTTGAGAAAATAAGAAATTAAAAAGTTTGAGATTTCAAATGCTTATTCTTCTTGAATTAGAGTGTCTTGTTGAATAACTAGATAAATTATTCTCCCTCATGTGCTCTACATTACTTTATTTCTGAGGCTCTGTATTGCATGCTAGACACAGTTAAACTGGTTTTTTGAGGAACGATAGTTGTTTTTATTATTACTGGTGAAGTTTTCGGTTCTCTGTTTCCGTCACTTCAGAATTTGGGTTATTCAGTTACCAAAAAGCTGAAACTAATCAGAAACTGATCAGTTATAAATTCAAAGATCTAACATGGTTCCCATCTTCTTTTCATTGTAAAGCTATGTTTTCTTTCTCTCGTGATTTAGGAATTTATGTGGGTATCAGAGAAAATAAAATTTAACTCATTAAAAATCATCGCAAAGAGGTTTTTTTTTTTTTTTTTTTTTTTTATTAAATTCACATGGCTTTAGATTTCTCACATTGTAAAACTTGGATACTCCTATCTCTTAACACATGCACTCTTGCAACCATACACCCTTTCTCACCCTCATGATACACTATATGATGTATTGTTGTAATGCGAGCAGTCATGGCGGGATTAACACCTGAAGGATCACAATTTGATGCACGTCAGTTTGATGCCAAGATGAATGACTTGTAAGCTTTTTGTTTCTGTATCACGTCTCCTATCTTCAGTTATTGTCATTCAAGTTGTGATTGCATTCAAAAGTTGTGTCCGTTTCTTTTCCTTTTCGATTATTGTTATTTTGAGCTGCCAACTATTACTTACTTGTAAAGTGAGTGCTAATTTTGCTTCATTTGATAAATTGATCTATAGGCTTACAGCTGATGGAGGACAAGATTTCTTTACCTCTTATGATGAGGTTTATGATACATTCGATAATATGGGATTGCAAGAGAACCTTCTGAGAGGCATTTACGCATATGGTATATGAAATTATGCTTTCATATTTTAATTCATGATTCCTTACCAATTGATTGCTGGATGTTTCTATTTTTCCCCCACACATGATCATATGTTGGGATACCAAGAATTTTGTATATTGATGTGATATATAGTGTTGCCTCTTTTTTGTTATCATTTGTTTGTCCCTGACCAGTATATTATCTAATGCTGAAAGCAATGTTCCTTCTTGTAGGTTTTGAAAAACCCTCTGCAATTCAACAAAGAGGTATTGTTCCCTTCTGTAAGGGGCTTGATGTGATTCAGCAGGCTCAGTCAGGAACAGGGAAGACTGCAACCTTTTGTTCCGGTATTCTACAACAACTTGATTATGGTTTGGTGGAATGCCAGGCCTTGGTTTTGGCACCCACTCGTGAGCTTGCACAGCAGATTGAAAAGGTTATGCGAGCATTGGGAGACTACCTTGGTGTTAGGGTACATGCTTGTGTTGGTGGAACCAGTGTTCGTGAAGATCAACGCATTCTATCAAGTGGTGTTCATGTTGTTGTGGGCACTCCTGGCCGTGTGTTTGACATGCTGCGGAGACAGTCACTTCGCCCTGACTACATCAAGATGTTTGTATTGGATGAGGCAGATGAAATGCTTTCCAGAGGTTTCAAGGATCAGGTGCTTTTTTAACTCAGATTCTACATATTGCTCTGACCATTTCATCTAACTGCTGCATGTCTATCCGGCATTTCTAATTTTTAATGTACTAGGGAAATGGGTGACAATGTTTTTTCTTTTTTAATGTCTAGATTCATGTACTACTAGGTTCTCATACTTAAAAGGTTCCTTTTTTCCTTGATGTTACTAAAGTTTCTGGTTATGTGGAACCATGATCATTCTAATCTTGGTATTTCTTCCCACCAGATCTATGATATTTTCCAGCTGCTACCATCAAAAGTTCAGGTTGGGGTTTTCTCTGCTACCATGCCACCTGAGGCCCTTGAAATTACCAGGAAGTTTATGAACAAACCAGTGCGAATTCTAGTGAAGCGTGACGAGCTTACTTTGGAAGGTATAAAGCAGTTTCATGTTAATGTTGAAAAAGAAGAATGGAAGCTTGAGACACTCTGTGATCTTTACGAAACCTTAGCCATTACCCAGAGTGTCATCTTTGTCAACACCCGACGCAAGGTAGACTGGTTGACTGACAAAATGCGTAGCCGTGATCACACTGTCTCTGCCACCCATGGAGACATGGACCAGAATACGAGAGACATTATCATGCGTGAATTCCGGTCTGGGTCATCTCGAGTTCTGATCACCACTGATCTTTTGGCTCGTGGTATTGATGTCCAGCAAGTGTCCCTGGTTATAAATTATGACTTACCTACACAGCCCGAGAACTATCTTCATCGTATAGGACGAAGTGGCAGATTTGGGAGGAAAGGTGTTGCAATCAATTTTATCACTAGGGACGATGAGAGGATGCTATTTGATATCCAGAAGTTCTATAATGTGGTCATCGAGGAACTGCCATCAAATGTTGCTGATCTCCTCTGATTAGGTTTTGTCTTAATTATTAGTATGGGATCTGGAATTTTGTGTTTGGTAAGTGTGATTTGCTGTGCTTTTTCCTTTTCTTCCTTTTTTGTTCTTTTCCGTCTCTAGCTTAAGTCATGTTTTATAGGTCTAGTGTCTTAATTTTATAAGACGTTTGGATATCTGGATTCGCAATCTGAAAACCACTGATGCCAGATTTGGTGTGATGGGGATTTATTGTTGCAGATTTCCAGTTAATGAAGGCTATTATTATAATATGGGGATTTTGGTTTCTGGGACTGTAAAATGCTTTTCGTCCATTTTAATTTTCATAATTAGGTGTTGTATGCTATGAGATTCCATTTTATTTTAAACCTTCTTTTCGGTTTAGTGTGGAACTTCAAAAATGTTTGCGCAGTCATAATATCGTGTGTTATCTGGCATGATTCCGAATTCGAGTCCTAACTCCAAACTACTTTGCTGCTTATACCTTTCTGCCATTATCAAATTACCATAATTGCATTCTACATATCTGTATAAAATGTTCTTGAAAATTCTATTTGATTCATCTCTTACAAACTAAGGATTGATTGATATTAAAGTCTCATCCTTAGTGGCTCAGATGTCCACGCGCGCCATTTCTTTCTTTTTCCCAGTCATTTTATGTTAGCTTCTCAACCTAGTATTAATTAATAATCTGGTCCAACACTTACAATACTTGGTCTAAGGAATCAAGTCAACATCCGAATCTGATTCCCTACGTCTGACTTATAATGATGTCATTTTTTTTTTATTTTTTTTTCTACCATTGATCGCTCTAAACTCTGGCGCCCATGTGAAATGTGAAAAGATCTACACGTGCAGCAGTACTTATATCGGTCACAAAATTCCTAAAGCCCAAACATGCAAGAAAAGGTCGAAACTCAAAATAGGAAATCATGAGAAGGTGTCATAAGAAGAAAGAAAGAGATGGCGTATTGTCCAAACTCCAAAGTTCATAAATAGATGGTTTCAGTTTGACAATACCCACTAATCTTTTTGTTTTTAATTTTAGAGTTAACGACTTTTTCAATAATGATTTAACCAAACATTTTTTATTCATATACTTTTAAAATATTATTTAAAAAAAATATTTTTTGATTAGATGACAAAAGAAAGTAAATTCAGTTCATATTATTGGGGTTTTTGAAAAAGAGAGATTGATGAGTTTTTTGATAATCGTGATTACTCGAAATTTGAATTGGGAAGGACGATTGTATAAACTCTAATCACTCGATTGTCAGCGATTAACGAGGTTAACAAGAGTAATGTTTAAGAGTTTGAGTAAGTAATGATTAGAAAAGAGAATGATAGTGATATTAGGTCAAAACGATGCCAGAATCGATCGACGATTGATAGGGTAAGTGGGAAAGTGTCATTACTAAATCCTTATTTGGGCGGAAAAAAGTCATTTACTCTTAATTTTATTCACTTAAATAGAGAAATAAAAAGGGTCAAACTCAAACCAAAACCAAAAATTTTAAACTTCATTTTGCTAATAAGAATCCAAATGTTACTTTTCTAATTCTAACGCACCCATATTAATTCACTCATCCTATAAGTAAATAAATATAGTCTAATTAATTGTGAAAATATTTGAGAACTACCTTAATAGTTAATAATATTTTATAAAAAAGAAGTTCGTAAATTTATTAAATAATGCAAAACTCACCTCTTGCAAAAATACTGCCAATACTGTTTGTGATTGTGAGCAATGCTTTGAAATCCGGATCCAAAGATGACTGGTCAGGTGGCCGCTTACGGCGATCCAATCAGTCTAACCGACAGGTCACATCGATAATATCATCAAATATATATACATATATTCCTCACCCGTCACCTCGTCTTCTCTCTTTCAATTTTTTTTCTTTTCTCTCTCTTTCTCTCCTTCCTTATACATATATAAAACTAATTTTTTACTACAATAATCCTATATTTATAAATAAATTTTAATTTACAAAAAATTTTATATAAAATAAAATAATATAAAATAGTAAAATAAAAAATCAAACTCATTAAATTCATTCTTTTATTTATTTTTTGTCACATCATTTTGTATAAAAATCTTTGTAAAATTTCTTTGTAAGTATAATATTACTTTTTTTACTATTATATCTTAAAGAGCATTTCTAAAAGAGTATTTATATAATCAAAACTCTTTATTATAAAGAATATATCCATAAAAATAAAAGTTCAACAAATATTTTATCTTTAAAATATAAATTAAAAAGCGAGTTTGACTCTCCCTATTTAAAGAATCAAATTTTATTCTCTATCCTAATTTTAATTAATAAATTACAAATTCTTATATATTTTATTTATTAATTTTTTCTCTCATTAAATCTCTTTCTTAAAAATAAAAAACATCTTTATTAAATTTAAAAAGTATTAAATTTGAATAAAAATTATATTTTATATTTAAAAATTAATAAAAATACTTTTCATTTATATAAAAAATAATAAAAATATTAAATTTAAATAAAAATTATATTTTATATTTAAAAATTAATAAAAATACTCTTCTTCTACATAAAAGATAACCAAGATGGCTGATGCTCTAAAAACTTAAAAATATTCTCAAAATATAATTGTACTTTATTCCTTTCAAAACATTAATTTTTCGTAAAATTAATCCACCCCAGTTTAATTTCTTCTTTTTCTTCTTGTCACCCGTCACCTCATCTTCTCTTTTGTGTTTTTTTTGTTTTCTCTCTTTCTCGCTGTCCTCTTCCTTTCTTCTTTACTTCTTTCATATTGTCTTCTCATTTCCCACCTCCTCTTCTCTTTCTTCTTCTGCATCTTAAGATCTTCTTCTTCATCTTTTTTTTTTATTTTCTCTCACTCTCTCCGTCCTCTTCTCTTTCTTCTTCTGCTTCTTCAGATCTTCTCCTTCGTTTTCTTCTTTTCTTTCACTTTCTAAGCACGAATCGAGCTGAAGATGAATGAAGGTGGATTGGAAGCCGGAGAAAGACAAAGAAACAAATGAATATTGAAGAAACGATGGCTGAAGCAAAAAAGCCAGGGATTTGACCTTTTAAAACAGTCACATTTGTTGGACCGGATTTTTATCTTTTCGCCAGTCTAAAAGCGGTAAAAAATGGTTTAAATAAAAATATCGGATTTCAACTTTCAATTCTTAGTGCACGGCACCGAAGTAATTGACGAAACTCAGATCGGATCGGCGGGTGCGAGTTTCAGAAGATTGCTTTAGAGTCTAAATCACATTAATTTGATATCATATGAAATATCAGACTGTACAATATGATTGTACAATATTATTGTTATTAAATGAAATATCATATTGTCCGACATTTATTTGACCTACCAAATATTAAGATAGGGTTACAGCCTATATATCACTCTCTGTCTTGGATTTGGATTTGGATTTGGCAACCTCTTAAACTATGGTTTTAAGATTTACCACCCATATCCACTGTTTATAATAAATATTTAATTTGACTTTCTATATTTAGAAAAGTGTTATTAAGGGGTGCTTTGGTTAATTTTAAAACATCAAAATAATTCCCCTTTAACCCAACGTGTGTTGTCATATAGAAATGAAAATTAGAAGAAGAAAGAGAGGACTCTAATTTCTTGGACCAAAACTAGTTGAGAGAACTCTTAAAATAGAGATTATATGACAAAATATAAAAATATTTGTATCTTAAAAGCTTATACAATATTCAATTTAAGGATAGATAACGGGGGAGGCGTGAGGGTTTCTCTAGAGTCGGATGTTACTAGAACTAGACAAAGCTTATATGCAGAATTACGAAAGCAATTTCGATCCTTTGAATAGGGCCAAATGACTTGCGCATACCCAAAGTTTGCTAAAACAATAAGTTAGTACCCAAAAGGTTTTGAAACGACAAACAGGTACCTTCTGTCATGTGCTGTTAGTGATTTCTGTTTGTTCATAGTGAAAAGACTAAAATGCCCTTAAAGTTTGATATTTTCGTTTTTTATAAACTTATAGAAAACCCCCTATGTTTGCTAATTTAACTAAACACCCCCATATATAAAAATCTGTTAAATAACAAAAATACCCCCACACCTGCAGTGCCAGATTTCGGCCACCACTGTCGGAATCTGGTCGAAAATTGCGTTACGACACAGACCCCGTCGAATATGTGTCTTAACGCGTCGATCTGGCCTTTTCTGGCCAGATCCTTGGCTGATCCGGTCGGAAAAGGATAGATTTGGCCGTCGAGGCCGCAAAACTCCATCTGTTGCCTCGACAGCCAGATCTGGCCTTTTTCAGCCAGATCCATAGCGGACACAGATCCGACGGGTCTGTGTCGTAACGCAATTTTTCGGCTAGATTCTGACGGTAGTAACCGGAATCTGGCACTGCGGGTGTGGGGGTGTTTTTGTTATTTAACAAACTTTTTATATATTGGAGTGTTTAGTTAAATTAGCAAACCTAGGGGGTTTTTTAGAAATTTTTAAATTTATAAAAAACTAAAATATCAAACTTTTAAGGGTATTGTAGTCTTTTCACTAAGAATAAACAGAAATCACTAACAACACATGACGGAAGATACCTGTTTATAATTTCAAAACTTTTTGAGTACCAACTTGTCGTTTTAACAAACCTTGGATATGCGTAGGCCGTTCGGCCTTTGAATAGTCCACAACTTACTTCAAAATTAAGTTTACCCTAAATAAAATAGTAGAAAGAATATTCTCAAAGGAAGCTTCCCATTTTTATTTTCTTTTCATTTAAATAAATCATTTGCATTTATTTATACGTTATGTTATGTATTATTAATATGAATAAAACAATTTCTTTTGGGTAGTAATTAAAAGAATATGGCGTGAAAAACGGAGATTTGAAACAAAAAAAGAGGGTCCTAGCATGCCCATGAATATAATTGTACTATGGACTATTATCCATATTAAAAACATTGAATTAGTACAATCATATTTATTGCTGTCGTTTCATTAATGCTTTATCAATCATCTATTGCTTCTTCACATATATTTGTCTTCACAGTTCACACAAAACTTGCTTTCCAATTTAAATGTGCGTTTATATTTCTATTTTAATTTACCATTATTAATTATTAGAAATTCAATTTTCTTTTTATTTGTTTAAACGGAAAGTTCCGTTCCGCGTTTTATAATGCAGTCTTCTGCTGCATGAGCTCTCTCTATAAATACCGCTAAACACTGGGGAACATGTGTTAACATGGTAATTCGTTAAACTTAATACTGTGGTTCGCTTAGCAATTTTCAATCTAGAAACCTCTCCTTTCTGCCACCGAATCTTCTTCAACTCAACAAAAGCAACGGAACAATTCTATATTCTTTACAATTAGCGTTTACTATTTTTCAATGGTGATTTCAGACTCACTTGAAAGTACAGGCGGAGCCGTCTCCACCACCACCACAACCACCGACTCCGATCATAACTTTTCCTTGCGGAAGAGGCCCGGCGCCACCGCAGTTCTAGCTACCTCCGATTCAAACGCCACCGAACTGGATAATTCCACCAATGTTGACGCCGCGGCCGTTGAAGGCCCGACGGAGTCGGCGAATTTCGCGACGAGAAACGCCGAGAATCATGGAGGACAAGATACACGATTCGCTTATCGGCCCTCTGTTCCCGCGCATCGCAAAATTAAGGAGAGTCCTCTTAGCTCCGATGCAATTTTCAAGCAGGTACTTTTTCGAAGTTTTGATTTTTCTGTTTTGTTTATTATTTGTGGTTATTTAACGTATGTATTGATTTATTAGTTTATCATACTATAGCAGAGTCATGCCGGTCTATTCAACCTATGTATAGTAGTGCTTGTTGCTGTTAACAGCCGACTTATCATCGAAAATATAATGAAGGTTTGTGCTTTATAATTTTAACTAAAGCAGTTATATTTTGAGTTGTTTGATTTTCGTTGGCTTATTATTGTTTTTGCTATTGTTGCAGTATGGCTGGTTGATTAAGACTGGCTTTTGGTTTAGTTCAAAATCGTTGAGCGATTGGCCCCTATTTATGTGTTGGTAATGTTTCTTAATTATTTGTTTCCTCCATTCTCTTTGCTAATGAATCATTTGTTTTTAGGTAATATTTTGTTTTCTTTGTTAATTTTATAGTTCTTTTTGGTTTAACATGAACTGAGGATGCCTTGTGAAATTTGGTTTTTTTTGCAGTCTTACTCTCCCAGTTTTCCCGTTTGCTGCGTTTATAGTTGAGAAGTTAGCACAGCAAAAGTGTATATCTGAACCTGTAAGTGATTGAGCAACTGTTGCCCATTTAATTTTCAATTAATTTTGAATATACCATTTGGTTAGCTGGGCTTCAGTTTTGTGTACTTTTTGTTTATTATAGAGATAGCATGTTGAATATTCCAAGAGACTAAGGAGATACACTTAGTTGTTAAATTTGGTGATAAGTTAAAATTTCAATGTTACAGGTTGTTGTTTCTCTTCATGTAATCATTAGCACAGTTGCAGTTTTGTATCCAGTTTTTGTGATCCTTGGGTGAGTTCTATTATCTTCTTGTAACTTTTTTATTTTGATATACCTCAAAATCCTGTTTATACTATTTAGTAAGTATACGGTTTCCTGCATAAAGTAATTGGAAGAATTAGTTATTTCACATTAACTGATAAATATAACATTGACAATGAAAGAATCTTTTACAAGAGTTGGAGGCTTCAGGAGAGTCAGGATTTTCAAGCTTTTTGATCAACCATAACTTATAACCCGGTGATTGGTCCTGATTATTGTATAGTTATAAATAAAAGGAAGTCTTTTGGAAATTGGAAATATGTAAGTTCGAGATGGACCCTGATTATTGTATAGTTATATAATAGAAGACAACGTTTTTTGAAAGTTAGAAATATGAAAGGTTTAGATAAATGGTTTATGTTGTATAAAGTGATCCAAAAATTAATTTCTTCCAAGGCATTTTTCCTGGCTTCTATTGATTAAAAGGGATGACAGTGGAAAATTCTTGATTATTTCACTGGCTCTGAATTGTGCAGGTGTGATTCTGCTTTTGTCTCTGGTGTCACTTTGATGCTCTTTGCTTGCATTGTGTGGTTAAAGCTTGTATCTTATGCTCATACTAACTATGACATGAGATCACTCAACAAGTCAGTTGATAAGGTAGGGTGACCTTTCATTAAAAAAGTTTACTGATAACAACTGCAAATTTAAAAATTTTATATTCCTGAACAAGAAATGGGAAGATTAAACGAATGGAAATAATTTCAACAATTTCTGCTGGGTTTCTTGGCTGAAATTCAGTGTCTGTAAAGAAATTGATGTGCTTAATATTTGTTTGTAACGAATTGAGAATTGATAAAATGTGTGTAAATTGATGCATTGTGATAAACTATTTTTCTCTTTAGTAATATCTTAGAATTTCTTTCATCATCAAAAAAAAAAATTGATCTCTGTTTCCTCTCACTCCTTTAATTGGATAGATGTTTCAACTTCTACAATAATCCCTTGGATGGATGGTGGGTAAATTCTTGTTCTTTATTTATTCAATAAGGTCTGCTTGTTGTTTTAGGGGGATGCCCTGTCTGGTTCTCCAAATGTGGACTGTTCATATGATGTTAGCTTCAAGAGTTTGGCTTACTTCATGGTTGCCCCCACTTTATGTTACCAGGTAAAGACAAATTTCTTGCACAAATAAACTGAGGAACTTTTATCTGTTTACATGTTTAAAATTCTAATCATGTCTGCTCAAGCTTGATTCTTTTTGGTAATATCCCTTTCGTGGTAATTATTATCCTTTTGACTTTTTAGCTTACAGAATTACACATGATAAGTAGAAGACAACTTTCTCAGAAGTTATGTATATAGTTAGGTCTGGTATTTTTACAGGTTAGTTGTCACTTAGGGTTGAGAAATTGTGTGACTACCATTATTTATAACTGTAGGCATAAATTACTTTCAGACCGTGTTATATAGATTTAGAAATGTGTTCTGAGCTGGTTTGTGTATGTCACTGTCTGGTTGTGATAAACTTTTTACTAACAAAATGTTTATTTTCTGGGTTTTTTTTTATTTTTTTTATTTTTTTTAAAAGGAATCCAAAACTAGTGAAATGTTATACCTATTATCGTAATATTTTTATCACGTTGTTGTACCTCTGAGTTTATTGTGATTTGCTAGGTATGGATTATGACTGGTTGGTGCAGCTATCTACTTCAGATGCTTTCAGGCTTTCTTTTAGAGCACATTAGACTCAATTTATTAGGGCTTCCAATGAAACTTTTTTTTTTTTTTTAACATTGTCCATGTCTTTTATATTTGAAGGAATGCATTAGTCGTCATGTCTTACTGATAATTTGCTCATCAATTTTTAAAAGTCATGCAGAAGACAATAGGGCATACAGTTTAGATTCAATGCTCAGAAAAAATGCCCAAATGTACTACAGCTCCTCATTTTTCTCGTATGTAATTTTGTGCTGGCCTTGATGCTTTTTGATGAAATAACTGTCTGAGAAATATTACTGCATTTTTCACTTATGTATTATTTTAAAGATATTAAATACCTGCTGTACTTCTATTTTGGAAGACTGCTTTCTAATTTGTTGTGTTATATTTGTTCTAGACAGTTTATATGCTCGTGATCATTACCTGAAAGTCATTATAGGGACTCATTTTTTTGTGATACTAGCTTTATAACATGCTTTTTACTTTTAAACTTTTGGATTTTTTCTGGAAATTTATTTACAAATTAATTTAATAGTTTGGATCAAGTAGCATGATTTTTCTGTTTGTTTAATGTTTGGCTTTATCATATCATGGTCTGGTTGTAGCAATCTCTTATTTTCACTGTTTGTTTGTCATTGTAGCCAAGTTATCCACGTACGGCATACATACGGAAGGGCTGGGTGGTTCGTCAATTTGTCAAGTTAATAATATTTACAGGAGTTATGGGATTCATAATAGAGCAGGTAAGTAGGAAACTGATTGGTGATTAAGAGCCAGTCTTACCTTTTCCTTTTTTTTTTTTTGGGGGGGGGGGAGATGTGTTTGGAGGCACAAGGATTCTGACATGGTTTCATTGGTAATAATTTTGCAGTATATCAATCCCATTGTGCAGAATTCTCAACACCCTTTGAAAGGGAATTTTTTATATGCCATTGAGAGAGTTTTGAAGCTTTCAGTTCCAAATCTATATGTGTGGCTCTGCATGTTCTACTGCTTTTTTCACCTCTGGTGTGTCTTCTTTCCTTGAATAGTGGAGCTTTGTATCTCTTCTTTCTCTTTCTAGATAACTTTGAGCACTTGCCAAGTTTTAAATATATTTTTTTCTAATGTTTCAAGTATAATGAATAATTCTGTGGCTAGAGTCCCCACTTATTTGATAAATTATCATTTTGACTGTCAATTTGACCTTATCAATATGTGTAGGTGTAATTCAGTTGTGTTCATTTTTCCGATTTTATAAACAATACACATTCAAATTCAACCCTTTTTTATGATTAATGTAATCATTCAAATTTCCCAGATACATTTGGTTCATCCTAACTTATAGTTACTTTGTTGAGTGCTGCTTAGAATGCAGTATTGTATACACTCACACACACATGCGTTGGCTACACATTAACTGCAGCACTCATCAGTTATAGCAAATCTTAATATTTTCCACATAATAAAATGTTAATTTTCTCAGAGGCTGATATCTCTTATAAATGTTTCTCTTGATATAGGCTAAATATACTTGCTGAACTGATTCGCTTTGGTGATCGTGAGTTCTATAAAGATTGGTGGAATGCAAAAACTGTTGAGGAGGTAGGTCCTATATCCTCCAAAATGATTTCCTTGCATATTTATTTTGATAAATCTCTGCTGAATTGAACTGAGGAACTTTTTTTGTTTTGTATGCACTTTGTTGGTTTGCGGCTGTCATCAGTACTGGAGAATGTGGAATATGGTATGATTCTTTACTCAAACTTGCAGTTCTTTTAATCCCGAAATATGATGTAGTTTATTGCATTTTGATGCGTTGTTAATTTTCTTTCAATGGTTACAAATGTTGTGGGTGGGATGAAATAAGAAAATATTTGGATACATTACTTCTTTTCCTATTATGCTTAGAGACTATATATTACTGTTTTTACCATTTTGAATATATATCAGTCCACGTAAAATGAAATTTGAACTGCCATATCGTAATGAAAATTTTTTCCTTTCACTTCTTGAGATGCATCACCTGTTTGCTCTTTGCTTTAGTTTATTTTTTTACATCTTGGTCAAACATTTTTGCCCATGCTGTCTAGTGAGTTATGCTTTTGTTTCCTTGTGTCGAGTTCATTTCAATCCCATTGGGGAACATCATTGTCTGTTTTGGTGGGAATTTGTTAATAAAAGCATGAGAAAATTACAAACTTTCCAATTGCCAGTACTATATTCAAATCATTAGATGGTAGAGTTCTTATAGTTTTTTTCCTATGTTTTTATTTGTTCATTTTAAGCTTATCTGATTTCAAATTTTTAACTTTTATGTCCTTAACTGCTAATTGCTTTCTTTGATGGAATTGTTGATAACAGCCTGTTCATAAATGGATGGTTCGGCATATCTATTTTCCATGCTTACGACATGGTATTCCTAAGGTATTTTGACCTTCTGTGCCTTTGTCAGTGTGGCTACTTTCTTTTTTTTTTAGTTTATAACTGTGAGAATAACTCCATGCTACACGGAACAAAGAACTGGAAGAGTTATACCGTAAATTTCGAAACCTTCAGGATTACAGATGAACTATATTTATTTACACTAATGATTTTATTTATTAATAGGATCAAATTGAATAATTGAGACTTTGTGGTAGTTACTAAAAAAATTTGGTTCATTTGTTTTTGTTTTCCTTAATCAGAGTGTTGCCATTGTCATCGCCTTCTTAGTTTCGGCTGTATTCCATGAGGTAGGTTGCTTTCTTTCTGTGTTTTATATCATTTTTTGTTTCTTAAATGTATAATATTCCGTGATCAGTTCTCTCATACCTGTAGAACAGATGAAAAATTATATTTACTTATTTTCCTGACATTATTATTGTCTATGTCATGAGCATATTTGGGAATAACATTATGCAACTGTACACAAACTTTATAAAGACTATAACATCAGCCATCACCCCCAGGATTGCTGATGCAATGTTGTGAAGGCAATCTGTATTTTCCCTTTACCCATCTGTTTTTTTCTCTTTTAGGATCAAAATCGTTGATGAGTTTTTATCGTCTGTCATTTCAAAGTCCCAGAAGCAACAAAATAAATAAAAAGAATAAATAGATGGAAATTTGTTTAGCAAATAAAAATTCTTCAATGAACTTATAAAACAATTTACTAGCATAAGTGAAGTTTGACTAATATAGAATTTGTATTCATTGATATTTGATCAGAAGAAATTGATTTACTGATGGATTGTGATTTTGTGATCGAGGAAAATGAAATTGACCAATTCCTTATTTTCTTCTAACTCTGAAATTGATAGATACCATTAGAGAACAGATTTTCTGAATCAATCAAGCAAGTTAATTAAATTTAATTAATTGTAGTAGTGACAGACTAGTGCTGTTTCTGTAGCTATCTGCACATCTTGTTATGAGTCGAAGTACACCATGTTTTGATTCTATTTGCCTCATATACTGTATTATACCGCTACTTCAATTTTTGCTTATGTTGTCATGTGATACTATCTTTATCAACAGTTGTGCATTGCTGTTCCTTGCCACATGTTCAAGTTGTGGGCTTTTATTGGCATTATGTTTCAGGTAAGAATGTTTAAACTAATTTATTACTAGGATGGCATATCTTTGTTTAAAAATTACTTTGTGCTGTAGTTAAATTGGACTCCTCCATTGTCATCTCTCCCCTCTGCAGAAAGTTTCTTTTAGAAACAAGGAAATAATAACATTTACTAGTAAAGAGCTGAGTTGAATTGATGTTGATTTTTAGATTAATGATTAAATTTATCATCATTTTGGCCATTTGAATCAGGTTCCTTTGGTGTTGATCACTACTTTTTTGCAAAGGAGGTTCAGGAACTCTATGGTATGTTTTGATTTTTAACGCTATTCTTTCAAGCTTCCTTTAGGTGTTATAATTTCCCCGCCTTCAGTTTCCAGTCAGCATTTGTTTCATGGAGAGTTATTTAGTTAAAGTGTGGAGAGACTTTGGCATTTATCTCACTTTATTGTGACCTTATGGCTATAGGGCTTAGTGGAACATAAGACAAGGTTCTTGTTAGCTACTTTTTCATTATTTTGTCAGGTTCAGTGCGAAATTTAAACGAAAAATTATATAAATCCTTTCTTTCCTCGTGTTTATTCTGTTTGGTGAGTTAGAAAATAGAAGTGGTGGAATGACTAGATGTGCCAGGCCTACTGAGATTCCACCTACTCATCATCAGATTTGGAGAAACTAAACATTGCAACAATTATTTGAAAAATAATGTACTGTTTTTTTTATCTTTATTTTCTTCTCTTTACGGTGTCTATGAAGCCAAACTATTAAATATCATAACGTGTATATCACTTCTTTCTTGTCCTTTTGCATTTTCATCCAATCTCTTACTTCAAAAGAGATGATTGGACTGTTACATTCAATCATAATGAACATCAGAAACCATTCTTTGTTTCCAAAAAACGTATACATGCTTTCTGCTATTAAAGGTTTAGGTCACTTAAAATGAATCATTCAATTAGGCACGCATGGTGGGTTGGTTGCGAGATGTGTTAAAGGTTTAGGTCACCTAAAATGAATCATTCAATTAGGCACGCATGGTGGGTTGGTTGCGAGATGTGTTAAAAGGTTTATGTTTCTTCAAATGAATCATTCAATTAAGCACGCATGGTGGATTGTTTGTGAGAAGGGTCAAGTAAATAAGATATAAATAGAAAAAAGATACATACCATGTAACACACTATGCATCTACCACTGCCAGACACTTGTTTAATTTAATGGAGATATTTTGATTTCTTTTCAAATGCCAGGTTGGAAATATGATCTTCTGGTTCATTTTCTGCATATTTGGTCAACCCATGTGTGTGCTTCTATATTACCATGACTTGATGAATCGTGAAGGGAAAACTGAATAAACTTCCAACGACTTTGGGATGAGATTGGTCCAACCGAAAATGGTGATAGATGTGTGTCGTTCTGCAGCTATGCAGGCTAAATGCATTCAATGTGCAGCAACAAGCTCTGTTCTGATTTAAGATTTAGTCAGGCTGCTTCCTGCTGAGACGTTTCAAGGCGACCTGTGTAAATCTTTCTGGAATAACTTTGTGAATTACAAAACAATTTTGAAAGTAAAATTTGGTGACAGTGTTGTGTTGCCAAAATAGTGGAGGTCTAGTCATGCTCTGGTTTTTGTACATGATTCATTTGATTTTACTGGTCACCATTAATGTACATTGTACAAGCGTGCAGCTGTGTCAAAATTGCTTCCTTTATGATGCTGAGAAATGATGTCAAAGATTTAGTCCCACATGATAATTTTGACTACTTCATTAGCTAGTGAGTCGGGGGTGTATTTGAGCTTGAAATTTGGAGCACGTGGAGATTTTATTTTTTGTTAGGAAGTGTATGGGTATGAGTCTCTTTAATTTAAATTTATAAAAAGAATTAAGAAATGTTGTGTACATTTCGTAATGGTCAAGGAAATCGGTCATTGTCATTCCTCAACTAGGGATCATAAATTGTTAAGTCTACAGAGCGTTTTAGGGCAGACAGCCATTAAATCAGGTCATATTGATAAGTCTCTCTCCATTTAATATTTGATTCTCCCCAATTTAGTATGATACATTGGATGCAAATGCAAAATCATTTAATGTTGTTTTCCTTTCAAATCAATGCAAAGCTATCTATCATTTTAGTTTGCTTTTCTCTTTCCCTCTGACTATCAGCTCCAAGTTTATTAATAAAAATTAAGGGCGTTATTTAATGAAAATTACTTTCTTCTTCCATTTTACAATTGAATACAACATTTTTCAAATCATATCAAATTCCTCTTGTTTGGAAACCATTGAAACTTAAAATATAATCAACCCACCCTCTTCAATGCATTAACAAGAAGCAAGATGCAAGAATAAAAAAACGTATAAAACAAATTGAATCCTTTTGAATCTTGGAAATCATAAAGAGGTAGAAGGGGAACAAGTGTTCGGAGTTTGGACACGTAACTTGAGTTTTTTTTATATTATTTAATTTTTTTTTTCAATCAATTCAATAATCAAAATATTAAGATTGTTAATTTAGGAAAAAATTCAAAGCTAAACATTAATAAGATTTTTTTTTTTTTTTTATTGGAGGTGTTCGAACCAATTTGTACGCACCTTAATTAATCTTTCGAAGTCTTAAAATAAAAAATCAATTAAATTTTAATGATCACTTTTATTAATATCTGTCTATTTAAAGAATTCCAACTTAAGAATTTATGTTAATCATACGTTCAGTGATGATTATTAATAAAATTGATTGATGTTTTCGTACGCACCACCGACGCTCCATGCAAATTATTTTAGTCAGCGCTTCACAGAATCTCACACAAACATTAAACAGCTCACTTTATTTTTATTTTATATAAAAAAAAAATGGATAATCAAATGCAAAATTCCACAAACACTAAGCACCAAAACACAAACTCCACCGAACGAACCAGAGCTCTTAGGAGAAAAAGTAGAACTTTTTAGACCAAAAAGCTTAGCTTTTTGGTATAGAACACAGAGCTCAAAATCCACATTGGTGTTTTTGTTTTAAAAGCATGATGGAAGATTTCAGATCCAAATCATGCGGTGATGGAAGGATGCAAATAGGCAATTACTATGGTTCAAAAACAACAACAGGAGGACCCAGCCTCAATGGTAATGGAATGCAAGATCTCAGGTGTTATAGTGCAAGTTATGCTTCTTCAGTGCCGCCGCCTCCACAAATTCAACAACCCCAAAACAATGATGCCAAGTTCAAGAAAGGCAAATCAACAAATGGGTCTTCTTCAAGAAGTTGGACTTTTAATGATCCAGAATTGCAGAGGAAGAAGCGGGTTGCTAGCTATAAGGTTTACGCAGTTGAAGGCAAAGTTAAAGGGTCTTTCAAGAAGAGTTTTAGGTGGATTAAGGACAGGTGTTCTAGAGTCGTCTATGGTTGGTGGTGATTTCTTTCTTTTTATTTTTTTATGTTTTATGTTGTTATATTTGTGCTTTGTTTTATATAATCTCTGAATATGTTTAGGAGTATTAGCTTGTCTTTATGAATTGGGAATGGCTTCTGTTGATCAATAACAGTGATCTTATCATGCTTTCTATATTCAGAGCTTTATTGATTCCACTTCTGATTTTGATATTTTAGAATATCATAACATATTATTTAATTTCAATAGCTTTGACTAGGAGCTTAATACATATTGCCTACGAATTTGATTTACAACTAGTGCATGTTGGTTTCAGTTCAGCATTGTCAAAGCCGTGAATTGTATGTTGGTTTCTTTATGCTCAGTGGCTTCTTTGATGTGGTTTTCTTATTTCAAGCTTATTTTCTATACTATGAAATGATTTCCAGTCAAACACTTGATTGAGATCATATGTATGGGGCTTCTCTTTCTGTGGGGGAAGGAATGCGATGATCACTGTAATTGAAACAAAGCAAATAGGTGATCTTCCTGTTTCAGGGAATTACTTTTACATATATGAGATTGCATTTTTCTGCATCTTGTAGTTCAATTGGGATCCTTAGAGTTACAGTTACTTGAGATGAGGAAAATATGGAGAATCAGGATGGAATATGACTTCTTTCAAAGTCTATGTAACATGAATTTATGACTTCTTTCAAAGTCTATGTAACATGAATTTTCTGATTTTATGGCGTTTCCTTCTAGAGTTGTTCTAATTCTCCATACTTGGTAATCCCATACCAGCTATGGTAGCAAAATTTGGGATTTGTTAAGAGCTGTTTGAGGTAACTTGGAACTGACTGGGCATATGAAATCCAGGGAGCAGGGGATATGTTAATTTTCCAGGAGATTTGGTTTAATTTAATATCATAATGGTAACTAAATTATGGAAAATTAAATTACAAATGAGTGTTGGGTGTGTTTGGGATGAGCAGTAATGAATCATAAAATAATCCATAATCTATAGAAAGGCCTTCGTGGGGAAGTGTTCGCAACCCCATTTATGTTAGCTTGAGCTGTTGACTGTTGAACAGATTTTTTGGTCTCCGGAATTTGTATGCTACAAGGTTCAAGGTCTTGCTAAAAATGCCTGAGAAAACTCGTCACGCATTCAGCAAGAAAGAAAGCCAACATACAAAGTGGTTCAAGGGTCAGGCAAACTGTTCAAAATTTTCTCACAATTCGTTTTAACTTTCATTTGATTTTTTTTATGACATGTTTGTGTTACTTTTGCAATACAAAGTGGTTTTCCTTGCCCAATTTGAGCCGTTGTTGGAGGGAAAAAAAAAAAAAAAAGTCTGAAGTAGTGTGTCAGATATAATTGGAATTTACAGCCTTTATAGACAAAGAAGCTTGGGGATTGCTGCAACAAAATAAGATAGCAATTTTAATATTCCAATAAACAAGTGTGATACACATGAATCTCATGAATAAGATGAAGACAGAAGCAAACTGTTTAAGAAACTTGTCTCCTTTAGCTTATTCACGCAAGAGAAAGCTTGATAGTCATTGATTGATTGTTGCTTTTGACAAGAAAACAAAAAAGCATCAACATGAAATAGTGCTATTAGCTCAAACTCTTAGCTATAATACTAAAGAAGTCATATATTCAAATCTTCACGACTATTAATAGAAGGTAACCATTAAAGGCTTATTTGACCATTAACCTTAAGACTTTAAGATACTAGTTGAGGTACACGCAAACTAGTTTAAACACTCCTAATACCAAAAAAAAAAAAAAGTAGCAACATGATATATCATATATTGCTAAACTTACCATATTTAAAGAAAAAAAAAATCTTATAAATTTTATCACGAAAATTAAGTCCAAAATAAATTAATCTTTTAGACTTAATCTCATATTATGCAACAAGGTAGACACATCATATCATTAGCTTGTGTGGCAATGTTGAGTGTTTCTGGGAAATGAATATTTATATACTTGATTTGGGTTGAAAATGAATTCAAACCATTCAAATTGTTAGGGCTACGTTATCAGAAGATTTGATGGGTCGTCACTTGTCATGGACCACAGGAAATATGAAGGCTCACATGGTTACCAGTACTGGACTTAAAACTGGTCACCAATTGGTACCATCATTAGCAATGGTAGAGTAGAGTTTTTAAACTTTCATGATCACAAACTAATGACCCATCGGATGAAAATCAGTGTTTGGTTTTTCAAGCAATGTCTTTATGTTGATATAATACGTCTTTAAATTCTGACGGAAGAAATATATGGGACATTTTACGGGGAGCCAACGCACGTAAATCAACTAAAAATTCGTTTTGGAAAAAATAATAAGTAAAGATTATTATTGTTTGTGCAGTTATGACAAGAAAATATTGATTTTGGCGTGTATCATACGCCTTATGTTTAATTGTCAGATAGCATATAGCATCTGGCGGAAGTGGCGCCTGATATTATGTTAAAGGTGTTGATATGAGACAAAATTGTAAAATTTTACTCTTCCCTTTGAAATTACATTGAAAAGGTGACACCAAATCCCTACTCCCAAAAAGGGAAATCTAATCAAATACCGAAATTTCAGATGTTAAGCTTACAGTTACAGAGTGATAAGTTGTAGTATTATCTGATGGTTCTGAATTAGAGATAAATTAAATAACTTAAAAGAAGATTATGTATCAAACAGAAGAGAATAAGTTGTATATGTAAGTAAAGTAAAGAAATTACTCTCTTTTGAGTTGCAGATAATTAACCACAGCTAACTAGTAATAATATCTCAGACACTGTAGAATATGTTCACGTATGTTTTTCTTTGAAGATGGGAGATTTGAATCGACACAGTAAAACTAAATTACAAGAATGTTACAAGTTGGCATGAATTTTAATTTGAAGAAACCTGCATCTGCGTAAGCAAAGTAATATTAGAACTGCAGAGGAAAATCAATACAGCGGCCGATTTACAAAGCCAACAAGTTATAAACCTGAGTTTCAAACATCAAAAATCAAAGCTTAAATGAACAGCTGACCACGGAAATAAGGGTTGAACTGTTGAAAATAAAAAAAAAAAAATTAAAAAAAAAGAGTAGCCGTGAAAATACACCCAGCTTTATGGACAGAGCCTTGACTCAATTTTGTGCATTAAATTCAGCATCTGAAACTTGTTTTCCAAATGATCAACTTCTTTGCCCGTGCAATTCTAAATCTTGATTTTCCCTTACTTTCTTCAGTACTCCACGAGAATAACCCCTATATTTTACTGCAAGTCTGACATCATACCAACCACTTCATGATTTACAATGCACGGTAGCGAGCATCTAATAATGAACCCTCTCATCACCATCAAAATGCAGGCCCTCAATGCCCTTGAGGGTAGTTTCATAATTTTTAATGTGAGTGGTATTTCTCCCTGATGCTGACCGCTTTGGATCTGAAGATCCGACAGGAGAATTTCTTTGTGCACTTGAAATTCTGTGCAATGCTCCAGGGCTTGCCTCGGTAGCACGAGAGCGTTGATGTTCAGCCTCACTTCCAACAAATGCATCCCGACTACTAGAAACAGCAGCAGCTCGCCTAGAGGATCCACCTGATCGTCCCATAAAATTGGAGCTAGATAACTGCATGCTCCAAGCATAATGCAGGTTAAATTCCAGAACAATGCAAAACATTAAATCAAGGCATTGGCATTGGCATTTATGTGAAACTGATTTTCAAAATCAAAAATCTGTCAAATGAAAGAGGACATGTATGAAAAGATGAAACCACAAGCATATAAGGCAGGCTAACACCAAACAACCACATTCCTATTTTATGAGTTTCTTTAACTCGCATTGGTGGGAGAGCAAGGTTGAAGCAAGTATTCAAAAAAAAATTCCAAGGGGAAACAAAGTCTAAAATCATGCATGTAAAGGACATGGACATGACTAAGTAACTAAGGGCACGTGAACAAACATGCACAGCAAAACATAAAATACAAAACCACAAAAAACTTACCATAGCATCTTTACTAATTCCAGATTCATTTACAACTGGACTCTTCTGTTTCGAGAAACTTGCAGAATTTATGATGGGTCCAGACGTCATTCTCCGCCGTGAGGACTCCATTGAAGACAAACCAGCTGGTCGACCATCTTCCCCACCTGCAACAAAGATAAGCAGCCAAAATGAACAAAACCATATCTCAAAACAGAAAAAGAAGGGAAAGAAAAGGAACGCTAAGAAAGAGGCAAAAACAATCAAAAATAAGTTCGGATAACAAAAGAAAAAGATGTCGATAACTACAAGAAAGCAAGACAGGAAACAATGAAAAACTTTTAAATAGGACCTATAAACATAATAAAAAGTTTTCTGACAACACAAATATTTTCCACCAATCTCACAAATGAAATGAAGAAACTACCTGTTTGTCTGTCAGCACTGGCTATAACAGGAGGTGTCGCAGAACTAGTTCCAGCACCTGGGACCTGATGGGAACAAGTGTTTCATAAATGCATCCAACACTAAAGACCAAAATAAATAAGACACAAGCTTACAAGAGCACGAGCTGGTGGTGTAGCCAGCTGTGATTGCTGATACTTCAAAATCGTCCAATCAAATACATAATCAAATTGGAAGCCTGTGTCAAGAATCAATAGACGAAAAGATTAAAAAGTTCCATTCTATTCAACCGATCTCAAAGATAAGGTTCAGCATATCAAAAATAACTAAAACCTTCACGAATGAAGAGGTCCCGGAAAATTCTTTTCAGATAGGCATAATCTGGCTTATCATCAAATCGCAGTGAACGACAATAATGGAAGTATGAAGCAAATTCTGTTGGATAGCCCCGACACAAGGCCTGGAAAAGCAAAGTATCTCCAGTTACAGTTTCTATAACCTGGAAAAAGGAAGTACACATGCATCAGAAGTTTTAGATATAACTTACCTCTATAGAAGTAGAAACTTTCTTTTCACTAATTTTCTCATATTTCTGTTTCTTAGTTCCTGCTTTCAATCCCTGCCACGGAAGGCTAAAACACAAAAGGTGGAATCACTAAGGGAATCAACAGACAGCAGGCAAGATAAGAAGAAGCTAGGGCAGGCTTAAATAATCACCTTCCTCTCAAGAAGTACATAAGGACATAACCAAGAGACTCTAGATCATCCCTCCGGCTTTGCTCTGGGAATTACAAGAAACGTGAGAGAAAACATCAACATTAAAAAAGCAAGAATGGATACTTGAGCAGATCCACAAATAAACAAGAAAGCTAGTTCTAAAGGTAGACAGAAAAAGCGTACCAATCCCAAGATGAGTGTTCATGCTGGCATATCTTGCAGTACCAGTCAAATTTTTATTCTCCCTGCAGTCGTTAACAGTGAGACGAACAATTGGCTTACAGAGATTAACCACATATCATCCACATAATGAAGTAGAGAAACATTCTATTAAAACCATACAAAAGAGAGAAACAAGACAGCTTGGGCGAAGTGATCAAAAGACAGCTGGCAGAATGCAACAGTATTTGAAGTGTTGCCATCAATATCATTATAACAAGTCCCATTATCACCACCACCATTGTCATAATTGTCCACAGCAGAGTATGGTATTTCATAAGCCTAACCTATAGGTACTGAAATAATTCCAATCTAATCCAAAGCTCATAATCTTAACCGAACATCATGAGAATATTACATAACCAGAATACAATTATATAGTTATACCTATTTATAAAGCACGATTTCTTGAAAAAAGTTTTAGCGAATTTTTTCAAGCATTAGCAAAAACAGTTGTTATTGCTTCATCTAAGACCTAAAGGCCTAAACGTCAGCAGAGATCCTCCAGACAGAAAAACAAATACACAAATGCTTAATTCAAATGCTCACCTAAATCAAAAATAGGAAATTTTTGATAAAATAATAATAGAGATCACTGTTTGCACTTCAGGATAATAAAAGGAATGAGAGAGAAGATGGAAAAAGATGAGAAAAAAGAGTTTTCAGGCCTAGCTGACATTATGAGCAGGACTCCAAAAACCTAGTTTCTTTTGTCTTACATAAAATTCAAAGTTAACACTGAAGCACCAACATAGTCTTCTCACCTGTAAGGAATATGTTGATGGGTTGAACTATCTCTATATTTCTTAGCCAGACCAAAGTCAATGATGTAGACCTGTCACATGTGAAGTAAATCAGAATCACTATATGGTATCCCCTTGTTACAAGAAAATGGAAACAAAATATATGTTCTAGATCAAAAACCTGATTAGCACGTCTTCCTAAGCCCATAAGAAAATTGTCAGGCTTAATATCTCGATGTAGGAATGATTTTGAATGAACAAACTCAACACGATTGATCTGAAAAAATATTGGCAATCGCAGTATCAATAAATACTTTTCAAAGAGTATTCAGACAAGGAAAATAATAAATATCAAATAGAACTTACCATCTGATCTGCAAGCATAAGAACTGTCTTCAAGGAGAGTTTCCTACTACAGAAGTTAAATAGATCTTCAAGACTAGGTCCAAGCAAATCCATCACCAGAACATTATAGTCTCCCTCAACACCAAACCACCTCACATTTGGGATCCCAGCTGCCAAAATAGAAAAAAAAAAATGATCAGATATATAACACAAATGTTATCACAGGACTAGTTACACAAAAACTTTTAATGAAAAATCAAATTCTAATGAAATTGTGAAAATGAGCATAAAAAAGAGAATCTGATTACTTCCTCCCTGCAGGATTCTGTATAATTTGGATTCGTATAACAACTGCGGATGCTTTGTCTTGACATTTTCCTGAAAATAAGAAACATTGGGCACTTTAATTATTAAAAAGTATTTATAACAGCAAAGAATAAATTGATGAAAATGGCAGCAACCACCATGATCTGGCAAGAGACATATCATGAAGAAAATCCATTTCTGTGGTGTTTACATAAATCAGACAAAGATTAATTAGATGAAATAACTTCCCACCTGTTCTGGCAGTTGAGAGAATCAAACTAAGGGTATTTTATGAAGAATAAAACATATCAATTGAAAATAAAGTGAAAAGGATCAAGAATGTAACAATGCATGAACAAATAAACCATCATAATATTTTACTCTGATCAATTTAACAAATAAGAAAGTCCAACCTAAACAACCTTTACAAAACTTAAAACACTACCATCAATACTATCTAGATCAAGATAACTTTATCCAGGTGGAGGTACTAAACAATATAAAGGTTCAAACAAAATTAAGTGGAGCTTAAGTGAGGATTTCTTTGCAAGTAACTCACAAGACAATAGCATTAGACAAGACGATAAATAGAGGAAAGAGTAGCAGGTCAGACTAGTTTCGATATATAGTTGAGTACAGTAAAAAGTTACTCCCCAAATCAGAGTAAAACTATGGATGCACTTCTCAATTTTTTGCAATGAGGTTGTTCTGCTAATCTACTAGCTCGCATGGTCAAATGTAAAAATTGTAACAGGCCTTTCAAAATTCCAGTTAAGTATTATCAAGATATGGCGCAATAACTTAATACTTTGACCCAGGAAATTTGATTTTACCACCAAACTTGTAACTGAAGTAGCATAACCCAAGTTCAACAAAACAACTCTTGTGCTATCCTAAATGTCGTCAGGACAGCAGATATCAATTACCCATTTATTGTCAATAACAATCATGCAAATACTGCGTGCAACCAACCAGAAGCAAAGAAAAAAAAAATATAGAAATTCATAAAAATCAAAGTAAATAACACTCACGAGCTTAATGGCAACCTCTTCGTTAGTCTGAATATTAGTACCTATACAAACAATTCAACAATCAATTACGGTCAGCAGAAAAATAAAACAAATCCATAAAAGCGAAATTACAACAACGAATTGAACAAACCAAGATAGATCTCTCCAAAAGACCCGCTACCGATTTTCCGACCCAACCGAAACTTATTCCCCACACGAGGCTCCATCAACACCAATTACAATTGAAGCCCTAGCTCTATTGACAAACAAACCCTAACTAATAACTCTCGATTAAAAGAAAAATAAAATTCTCAAAAATAAACAAATAACAATTTCTCAAAAACACGACACTCCCCGCCGAATCGACTGCACCGACAACCTATAAAAACCTTTAAAAAAAAATTCTTGCTGATTAAAAAAAAAAAGGGAAAGAAAGAAAACCTATAAAATTGAAAGAAGATAATAAAATGGAAGATCTAGGGTTTCTTTCTTTTTCCCTAAAATAAAAACAGAAAAAGAAAAGAAACAAAATAGGGTGGAGTTAGGTTAGTAAGACGCAAACGTGCGTTCTGTTATCGGCATCTCTCTATCTGTGAGGACTTTTTTTTTCTCGCATTGGGATGGGATTGATCCAATCGAAGCAATTACTTTGAACAACGGACAATGTATGTGGGTCTCCTTTTCTTTTCTTTTTTAATTAAGAAAATTAAAAAAAAGCAGTCGTGGAGAGAGAAATGCGTGACCACGCGTAGTATATACGCGTGGCGAAAGTTGTTGATGAGAACATCGTAGAGAAGGTTTCGCGCCACTGTCAGGCGTTGGGTCATTGTCGCGTGACTATATCCGAGCGTATCCATCACGTGATTTATTTGCGTGTGAACAGACGCATACTCGTGCTTTTAAAACCTTTTTATATGTTGTTGTTTTAAATTTTCAAATTTGATCTACTAATTAGACTTTATTATTTATTTATAATACATAAATATCTCCTTGAAATTTCGGTTGCAAGAAGAATTTAATGCAAATACAAGTACAGAGCATGTGGAGGTTGAAATGGTAAAGTTTTTGTATTAATAATAACAGAGTAAACGACGTATTCCCGCCCAAGCTTTCACGAAATCTCAAATTGGTATCATGGTTAAATTTATTCTAGATTTTCACCTTTAAAATAATAATATTAGCAATTTTGAGGGTTTAGAGGGTGTAATTACTATAATGCCTTTAATCCTAAATTAATAAATTATGTTTTAACCCTTAAATTAGTAGAATTATAAAACTTACTATTTTATTTTCAAATTATATCAAGTCACTTCCATCACCTTCCTCGTAGTCCATCGTCCAAAACTCCTCTGGTTCTTGACTCATTGGCCCCTCCAATCACCGACGCCATTAGGCTTAGGGTTTCGATGTTCTTCACTAGATTCCGACGGCAAAAATCCAATTGAACACTACCATTGCAACCACCGTCTCCAAATCTATAAACCCCTATGTCCCCAACAACCATTTCATCGTCGTTCGCCAGTGGACAGTTCATGTTCATTGGCCCTTTTTTGGTGAAGTGGTGGATGGCAAACGGTGAGCTGTTGTGGCTGGGAAGGTTAGGGGTTTTGTAGGGGAGGATGCGAGGAGTCAAATGGTGGTGGTGGTTGGGGTTCTTGTTGTTCAAAACAGCCGAAAACAGACAAAAACCAGTCACATGTCATGGCTGTCGTGGCCAACAAACGGCGAGTGATAAGGGGTTGTGAAGGGTATGGTTTTGTAGATGGGAAGATAGAGGTTCAAATGGTGGTGACAATGGTGATTTTAGGTGGAAGAATCGCTGGAAAAATGGCGAAAAATGTTGGGGACGTCGTCTGCTAACGTGCACCAGAGGATTATTAGAGGCGACGATCTGCTAACGTGCACCACCCCATGTAAAATGACCAATTTACCTCGTTACCGTTACATCAAACATTTTTCGATCACTTTAAGAGTGAAAATCTGGAATAAGTATAACCTGAGGTACCAACTTAGCGTTTCATCAAACATTGGGTGGAAATACGTTGTTTACTCATAATAATAATATGAAACCCACCCACATGTGGTTCCCCGGGCATAATGATTACATGTACATAATAAGCATTAAAGACCCATGGAATGGGAAAGCATGACACTATGATCATAATTTACTTGCCATTTGCTACTGGAAAATCTGATACCCTTTTATTACTGCTTGTAAGAGGGAAATGCTAACTCAGTATTGAAAAACATGTGTCAAACATTTTGATTATAAAAAATTTCAACAAAGAAAATCACTTACCTCCCCTTACGTTTCAATAATAATCATCAACTAGTATCTATTACATTTATCTAAAATCCCTGAGCTATGGGGCTTGGCTGTGTGCAAAGGGTGGCAATGGCAGTTGAGTTGGCAAATGTTTTAGGATGATTTTAAAACTTTAAACAACGTGCTTCCTTATCCATATGATGAATATAATAAGAGAGAAAAGCAAGTACTCCTGGGCCCATTTTGTAGCACCTGGTTTTGGATTTGGTTTGTGGATGTTCAACTAAATTAGGTCATCACTATCCAACTACTACTACTTTCAATTTCAAATAATAAGTTTAGTTGGAGTGACGCAAAAGACGGCCCAAAATTTCATCGTATTCTATCAATTTTTCATTTAAACTACGCATTATGATTTTTTCTTCATATAATGGTCCGGCTTTAGCAGAACTCCTTTCCGCCGATCCAATCAAAAACTATGCTTTGTTTAAGTAGTGTTTTTCATAACCTAGAATATCTGTGAAATATCTAAATTAAGGTCAGTTTATATGATTATGACTTTTATATTTCTGAAATAGCTAAAAATATATTATTAAAAAAAATCATTAAAGATTGGTAAAAAATTCAGATATATTGATATATTTTCTAGACAATTTCTTAACGTATAATATGATCCCCAAAAATTATTCCTGGACAATAGCACGGCTCTGAATTCTTTTAGGGAAGTGGGATCTTATCTTTAATTGTTTTGGTAAAGCAGCATTAAATTTTTAAGTTGACTGGAAAGTAATCCTCACGTTCTACCCAAATAACCCAATCGAAGAACCTGGAGAATAACTGTTTATTGCCTTTTTTTTTTTTTTAATTAAAAAAATTAAAGTTGCTCATAATAATTCCCGAGACAAAATCACCAGTGGATGTCGATGTTAAAAAAACAAAAAAAAAAAATTCTATGAGTTTCTGAATTTGAGTCTCCCGACAATAATAAAGGTGATTACGGGACTCTTTCCAGTCTACAGTTTGAAGACTCATCCCGATGATTTTTAAAAAAAAAAAAAATGTTGCTACTTTTCTAGAGAATAAATTCAGATGAATTTGTTAAACGTTTTCAATCTGAGAAATTCTTCTCTCTACAAATAATAACAATGCTAAACACACTAGGAACTTTTTAAAAACCAATATATTAAAACCTCTAAATACGATACATACCGCTATTCCAAACACCATCACTGCAGAAAAGTCAAAGCAGGCCACAAAATTTTCTATCTCTCAGTAAGAGATAAGCAAGGGACTACAGTACTAGTGTTTAGCACTTGAGATAGATGAGTCAAAGTCAAGGGTTAAAGAGAGAAGAGCCGCACTTGCATTTCCAACCTTCCGGTTCATAGTTTGCAGACTGAAGTCCCACTCGATCAGACGTTGTGGTTATTTGAATGGCAACACATGGTTCGCACCCTTTACACTTGTGGTTACAGTTAGGTGGTATTGACCCAAGTCTACTTTCCACTTTATAAGTTTCTTCAGTTCTGGACGCTACTGTTCCCGCTTCCATACTCTGATGATATCCCTTAATATATATGTCAAACAACAATACATCTTCATACTTAGTTAGCCAGCAAGATCCTGATAGAGAAAGAGCGAGAGAGCTACATTACCTTTTTTGAGTCCGAGGCAGCTTGTAGGAACTGAGGGAACTGTTCTGTTTCATCAAGTATAAAAATTAAAAAATACATATATATAGTAAATATTAGTAGGAGATATGATCTGCTTAATGAAATCAGTACTCAAAGTAGAAAGGAACAAGGTCGGTTGTGAGAAAACAAAGGTCATGTGGAAGAAAAAGTGAAAAATAAGCCTTTTTTCTACCAAACAGCTAAAGTCCCTGTTGGAGAATGAAAACGTTGTGTAAAAAACGAATTACAAAAAGGTGAATCAGAGACATAAACCGAGTGCTAACCTTGGTGATCAGGAGCATGTGATGTGAAAGTACTACTCGTTACAGAAACTAAACTCGAGATCTCCAGTGTTGCTACAAGAAGATAGAAGATTATGCTCTTCATTTTCTCCTTAATATCTCAAATGATGGTAATGATGATGATGATCTTCACGGGTCTCTCTGTCACTCAACTAACTCAGCAAGCCAAATATGGATAAATATACTGTTTAGAGCTGTAGAGAAGAGACTTGTGCAAGAGAGAGAGAGAAATGCACTATATATATATATATATATATATATACACTCAACAAGGCGCAGGCAGGCCAGAGAACAACTCTTTGAAAAGCCGGTACGCTTCCTCTCTCCCGGTCATGACTTGATAGATTTTTGCTTAGCAGACAAGTCACAAGTACTACTGAACCTTACTCGTAAAAAAAAAAAAAATATATATATATATATAGAGAGAGAGAGAGAGACAGAGAGAGAGAGAGAGAGAGAGAAGTGAAAACACTGGTTTCGAAACTCGGGGGAGTTTAACAAATTGATAACAAAAAGAAACGGTAAAGATGATCGCTTGAAAAGTTTTGCATTAATGGACTTCCTCCATCTCACACCTACATCACAACAAATTCCATAACTATTCTACAAGGAAATACAATCATCATAATAATAAAATTAACCAAAACTATAAGAAAATACAATCATCCTAATAATAAAATTAATCAAAACTAAAAGAAAATACAATCTATCATAATAATGAAATTAATAAAAAATATAAGGAAATATAATATTATAATAATCATGATAATAAGGAAACAAAATCAAAATGATTTTATTCCTTAATACTCTCCCGCAATTGAAGCGGTAGATCTCGGAGCTGCAATTCAAGATAAAGCAACTGAAATTGCTCACGAGATAGGCCTTTGGTGAATATATCCACAAGCTAAGAGACAGTGGGTACATGTCGAAGACAAAGGGCCCCGTAGGCAACTAAGTCACAAATGAAGTGTAAGTCGATATCGATATGCCGAGTGTAAGCATGAAAGACAAAATTAGTTGCCATATGTAGAGTGGATTGATTGTCACAGAGAAGCAATGGGGAAGAATACAAGGGAATGCCAGGCTCATGCAGTAAATAACAAAACCACCGAACATCAGCAGTAACATGGGCAAGAGCACAATACTCAAAATCAGCACTAGAGCGAGACACATCAGATTGCTTCTTTGCAGTTCAAGATATCAAATTGCGACCAAGAAAAACACAACCACCAGAGATAGAACAATGAGTAGCTACATCAACAGCCCAATCAGCAACAGAGTAGGCAAGAAGATGAAGGCTAGGGTCACGATGAAAAGTGAGACCACAAAATAGTGTGCCATTAAGATACCGAAAAATTCGCTTGACAGAATGCATATCATGTTGAGTGGGAGCAAAACATCTTTGAGCAACCTGATTTACAACAAAGGCAATGTCCGACCTGGTGAGTGTGAGATAGTAAAGATCTGCGATAAAGGGTCATATCAGGAAAAGGATCATCATCTGAGAATTGTGATGCTTTGGAGGAGCTAAAGGGTGTAGCACATGGAGCATAAGAATCAAGTTGGCAGCGTCTAAGTGAGTCCACCACATAATGTCGCTGAGACAGATACATAATAGTATTATCCTGAACAACTTCCATGCCAAGAAAGAAACCAAGAGAGCCCAAGTCCAGGAAGGCAAATGTAGAACATAATGAAAAGACATAACTTGTGACAGTAGAGGGGTCTGAACCAGTGACAATCAGATCATCCACATAGACAAGAAGAATCACAACAGATCCAGATGTTCGGCAAATGAAGAAAGAGGAGTTAGAGCGGCTATTGGTAAATCCAATATCAATAAAAAAGCAGTATAGACGATGGTACCATGCACGAGGAGCCTTCTTAAGACCATAGATAACTTTAATAAGTCAACAAACATGAGAGGGTCGTTGTGAATCAATGAAACCGGGTGGTTGCTCCATGAATACTTCTTCAGTGAGATAACCCTGGAGAAATGCGTTCTTGACATCAAGTTGACGAAGCGGCCAACCATGCATTGTGGCAAGAGCAAGAACAGTGCAAATAGTGACAGGCTTAACAACGGGACTAAAAGTATCACCAAAATCCACACCAGGCTACTGATGAAAACGCTTTGCAACTAGACAATCCTTGTATTGTTCAACCGACCCATCAGCTCGATGTTTAACTTTGTAAACCCAACGACAACCAACAAAATTCTGATAAAGACTAGGTGGAACAAGAACCCAAGTATTATTCCGCAAAGGGCATTATATTCTTCACACATTGCCTGACGCCAATGAGAGACAAATTGTGCTTGCTTGAAGGATGTTTGTTCATACAGTATAGGATCCATTGTCTCTGTAGTAAGAGTATTCAGAAGCACATGAGGTGAAGAGGCCATAATATCATAGAGACTATGATATCGCTGACGGATTGGTGTTGGTGGTGTTGTAGAACAGGGGGGCACGAAATTTGTAGGCATCAAGGGAGACGACTAGGAATCCCCGATGGAAGAAGAATGAGTACTAGCTAATGGGGACTGAGGAAGACCAGTGGAGTCAGATGGAATTGAATTGGAAGATTGATCTGAAGTGGTGGATGATGGTGGCATGACCGGTGCAGATGAAAAGGCAAGCCCAGATCCAAGAGCATCGGAAAGTTAAAGCACTGTGGATGGAATAGACAAAGGTTGAAAATCCGAATGAAGTGGTGCTGAAGTGGCAGCAGTGACATAACCAAGAAATGTTGTCTCATGAAACACCACATGTCAAGAAATGTATATACGACCAGTAGGAATATGGAGGCACCAGTACCCACGATGTGACGAGTCATACCCCAAAAAAATACAGAGAACAGAGCGTGGGGCTAGTTTGTGAGCAGCAGTCGGAGTGAGCAATGGATAACAGGCACAGCCAAAAGTCCGCAAGAAGTTATAGTCAGGAGATCATCGAAAAAGAACCTCAAAAGGACAGCGATGCTTGAGCACTATTGTAGGCAACCTGTTAATCAGAAAGATAGCAATAGAAAAAGCCTCCACCCAAAAGGATGGTGACAAGTTGGATTGCAATAAAAGGCAGCGTCATTTTTCCACTATGTTTCCGCTCAACGACACCATTTTGGGCAGGAGTGTAAGGACATAACAGTTGATGGGTAATAGTAATACCATGGGACTCAAGAAGGGAATGAAACAATTTATTATCAAATTCACCACCACCATCAAAACGCGCAATTTTAATAGAACATGAAAGTAGGTTCTTAACCATTAATTTAAATTTACGAAAAATCTCAGTGACATCAGATTTTTTAAACATAGGAAAAAACCAAGTATACCAAATATAATCCTTAACAATAGATAAGTAATGTTTAAAAGAAGGTAATGACACGATTGGAGTAGGACCCCATACATTAGGATGAAGGAGCTCGAGAGGAGATTTGGATGTGTATGTCCGTTTGCTAAAGGAAAGATGACAACCTTTACGAAGAGGACATACTGGACACTCGGCAGTGAGATCCTGAACTGGACTAGACATAGCGGCAAGCACGGTTTTGAGCACAGCAGGGGAAGGGTGTCCAAGACGATGATGCCAGACATCAGATGATACACAAAACAGATGAAAGAGCGATGACAATGGGAGACGATAATTGGTATAACCCATTACTGCTACAATCAGAGAGAAGAATCTGACCTGGCCGTTTTGCCTTGATAACAAAGCCAGATGAACCAAGATTGTAAACAAAATCAGTATCTGATGTAAGTTTATGAATAGACAATAAATTCTTACGAAGAGATGGAACACACAAAACATCAGATAAAATAATTCTAAAATTAGGAGACTTAGACAGACATACATCACCCTTATGAGTAATAGGTAACGACTAACCATTCTCGATTAGAATGGAAGACGTACCATTATGAGGCTGAGGAGAGGACAAGGTAGTAGCATTGGGTGTCATGTGATGTGTGACTCCAGAATCAAGAAGCCAATTGGAGTCAGAAGGGTCACAAATGGACATAGTAGCAAAAGGTGTAGCAACAGTCTCTGCGAAATATGCAAAGTTGCCACGCTGGGGACAAACATGAGCGGAATGCCCATGTTTGTCGCAAATCTGATAAGCACCTTGCGAAAGAACACCAGCTGGAGTAGGTAGCAGAGGAGGCTGGAAAGAAGGCGGAGGTGGCTAGTGTGACTGATTATTCTGAGCACCACGACCTCGCCCACGATTGCCTTGATTGCGAGAAAGGTAGTTGCGCCTGTTGGAGGAAGAGCCAAAGGACCCAGATGACTGTGAAGAAGTGCGGTTATCAGTCAAGGCCACAGCCTGAGTGGACAAACTTGAGCTTTTCCTATTGAAGCGCTCTTCATGAACTAGAAGATCAAACAATTCATCAAATGTGGTAAAAGGCCGAAAATGGAGAGCGGTAATGAACCCTTGATATTCTGGACTGAGGCCATCAACAATATATTCTACAAAGTCAGATTTCGAAACTGGAAAACCTGCTGCATAATGGGAATCAAACACAAATTCAGCATCAATAAGATAATCAGTCATTGATTGGTCAATGGCTTTTCTGAGATTGCACAGTCGATCACGATTAGAGCAAATATGAACACCAAATAGAGGATTTAGGTGATGGTCAAGTATAATCCAAGCTTCGGCAACAGTGGTGCATAGTAGTAAAAGATTATGGACAAGAGAGGGCGAAACAGTAGACTTGATCCATGTTTGAACCAATCTTTTGGTCTATAACCAATGGGAATGAGCTTGGTTTGTAGTGCCATCGGAGAGAAATGTTACAAGGGGATGGGCATCACCAGCGATGACATTTTGTAGGTCGTGGATAGCAAGGACATCAAGAAACTTGGACTTCCAGGCGTGATACGTATCACGCTCCATGAGAGAAGAAAAGTAGCTTCCAATGTTGACGGTGGTAGGCAAGGGTGGCAACAATATAGGCTATGGTTTGGGTGAAATAAATGTCAACGAGTGAGATAATCCAGTCGTGGAAGTGAGCACCTGAGTATGAGGAACCTACTGGTGTGGTGGTGGGTAGAGGAAACCGCCCATGGAAAGGGAGGAGAATGGTAGGGAGATCATCGACTAAACAACTGAGGAAGCAGAGTTGACTGAGAAGAAGACGCTAGAAGTGGTGGTAGTCATGGCTGAAGTGGTGGACTGTGACGAATCTGCCATGAGAAAAGAAAAAAAGAGGCTTCAAGAAGGCAAAACAAGAAATCAACAAGAGCACGGTTGGAGAGTACAAACGATCGTCGGAGAAACGCAAATCGTGGCTGTTGAGAAGAGCAAACAGATCTGCAAAAAAAAATCACGGAAAAGACAACGGAGAAGAAGAGAGAGTCGTCGTCGGGGCTGAGGAAACAGAACAGTTGCTGGAGTCGAGGAAGCTGGGCAGTGTGATCTGGAGAAAAAAAAATACAGGGGTGAACTGTCAGCTTTCAGAGATGTAGGACCCAAGAGTAATTACTGCTTTGATACCATAAAGAATTGTATAAATGATTATATATTCAATATTAATAAAAGCGTATAACATATAAGTTCAACATATTCTATACAAAGAAATACAATCATCCTAATAATAAAATTAATCACAATTATAAGAAAATACAATTATTTTAATAATAAAATTATCATAATAAGAAAATGATTTCTGTCGTCGCCCATTGGCCTTTTAGTAATTAAGCACACAACAAGGCATGTTATTATTTTAATTACTATTTGAGTCATGTCATGAGTCGCTTACTCAATCTGAATCGTCGAGTACGATCATTAAGATTGATGGATTAACAATCACAATCAGCAGTCACTTTCTGACTCACATTATTGTCTCATCACCAATTTTAGGATTCTTAATAAGCAGTGTGCCCTTGACCTAAGGCCTGTTAGGATGAAACTAAACCACGCAACAGCCTCAAACTTTGACCATATTAACTTTGGGAAAATAGTAACCAAGTCCAGGCCTTCTTCTGTTTTGCCAAATGCCAATAATTCATTTTTATGAACAAGAGTCTATACCAGTTTGAGTTTTATGTGAAAAGGAAGAAGATACACTTTAATAAGGAGTCATTCTACCATTTTAGTCCAATATCATGTGCCAAATCTCAAGTACGTCTAATGTCACCTGTCAAATTTTGGGTCCAATTGAAAGAAGTTGTTCATTTTGCTTTAGATCCAGCTCAATGCACAGGTTTATTTTAGGGTTTCACGTAAATATTTTTAACCCAAAACACCTATCTCTATTTTTTTAGAAAGATCTAAAACTTGTAAATTATAAAAAAAATATTTTTTTTAATGCATCTGATTTTATCTTTTAATAATAAATAAGGACGTACATTAAAACAATGCTATTGTTAAATATTTATCAAGAATAAAACAAATCTTCAACTTGAAATTAGCACAAAAGCCTAAGCAAATAATTGTTATTCATCAACAAATCTTCTTCTTAACATTACACAAAACCCTAAGCAAATATCCTTATGGTAAGCGTGAGTAGTGATGATGCAAAAAAGCAAAAGGAAGTGATAAGAGGGGAAAGGACGTGGGTCCTGGGTACGCTCATAAGAAGTCGGGCCACCATATGCAGTAGAAAGAGTAATAAATCCCTAGCTAAGACTAGATTGAGTACAACTGCAGAAGGATGGTTGATGACGAGAGGTACAATTGAGAAGATAATCTTTCATTAGAGATTTGAGATGCATGCAAGACGTCGGCTTTTAGTGAGGTCGCAGTGTACGTATGCATTTTTTTATAAAAAGACTGTATACTGTAAGTGTAAGATCTCACTATATAGATTTCCTCTCTGATATTTATGAGTAATTTACTGCATGGAATTATTTACTGGCCGACCAACTAGTGTGAGATGGGACGTTCAGTCTTTGTCTTGTTAGCTTGAAATTTAATGGTGTAAGCCCCAAAATTTATGACTTTAATCAGATGACGACTATTTTTAAACTCGCCTTTTGAGTTTAATTTGGGTTCTTTCGTTTGTGTGTCGGTTTTCTTCTTGTATTTTAATTTTTAACAATAATATAGTCGTGATTCTTACACCAACCATTCGTATATATAAAATATTAAGTTATTTTTAAAAATTATATATAATATAATTGATTCAAGAGTAAGAATAAAGTTATATAATAATAACGAATATAAAGACGAGAATAATAAATGAGAGAGATAATTTTTAAAATGATTCAGATACCTAAAACGATTCCTATTTTTACTGTTTCTTTTATATATAAGAGTTTACAAGAGGTCGCGTATAGTGAACAGCAAACAGAGATACAATAACTGATTATTAAGAGAGAATATCAAGTCAGTCTTTTTCTCGTAAGTTATCTTTGCTTTGAAAATTGAGATTATAATCGGAATCAGAATTCGAAAAATGTGAGGGGGAGTCCTCTATCTATAGTAGCTGAATTCAAGGTAATGATTATAAATCTGCAAATGGATAGATGTCGTGCAAGTCCTTTATTGCCTCTCATTGGTTGATAACTTAGTAAATATCTTCAAATTATCTGGGACTTTGACAGGTGTGCGGTCCTTATTCACTTATAGACAAAACCTGAATCTGTTGGGTTAATGACAATCGTATTCTTTTTGTCTTGAGGCGATATGATAGCTCCTGAAAGACGCAAAGTCTTCCTAAACTCTAATTGGTGTTTGCTAATATAAGTTTACATCAACCCTGATTTTTTTAAGCATAACAAATACATATGTATTATATATGGTATTGATATATAAATGAAGTGGGCATGCATTAAATGATTTAATAATTTTACATAGGATGTTACATAATTTAAGATTTAAAATTTAGAATATATCTTGAGATGAGTGAATTACTCTTATATCAAAGTAATTTTAAGTGTTAGCTTATTGTTAGTTTGTTACACAAATTTTAAATATAACAACTATGTTTTAAATAATACATCCCTTGAAGCAAGGAAAAAAAAAAAAAAAAAGGAATTTCGAATTGGAAGGAAGAAAATGACATAAAAAGAATGATTTATTGAATATGATTGTATATTTATATTACTTCATATTTTCTGTTTACATGAAAGAATAGGTAAAACCCAAACACAATTGGGTTAAAATTAAGCCATAAGGAAAATTCAACTAATGAAAAAACAGTAAGAAAGTCACAAAAAAATTATTTTCTTACAAAAAAAAAAAAAAAAAAATCACGGTCAGTTCCATCTGTCCCCGCCTCAGTTCTAACTTCTAAAAACCTAAAGTCGGGGCACCAGTGATACCCAAAATGGCAAAATCCTACTAATGTTGACCCATCATTAAACCCATTGTGGAGCTTAGCTGGTGGCAGGAATTGGAGTCCTTGGGCTAGGAAGGCCCATGTACGAGATCCTTGGTGAGAGACGAACCTTTGGGCTGGGCCTTGGAGAAGGAATTGGCCCGTATTTAACAAACGGCGCGGTTGGTGGACGAGGCGATAGGCTAACTTGTTCCAGTGCTCTCGACTGTAAATCTGCAGGGTAGTCTCGCACACAACCGATGCGGGGTCCAGCTCCTGTGGTCCAGTTGCAGGGCAAGCGTTTTCCTACATCAAACGAAGGTACTTCTGCGTTGGAATCATCATTTATGTCAATCTTTTCTTTTTGATTAACGGTTGTGATTGTAGCTGCCTTGATACTGTGGTCCACATCAGGGCCCACCGGTGGCTTTTGTTTTGATTCCTCGCCGGTGACCGTAATTGAAGAGGGATTGTCATCATCAATGGCATACCTCTGAAACAAAACAATGAAGCAACATTTCTATATTAATTCTTGAATAAATAAAAAATGCAATATATATAATATTATCGCAGACAATTATTACCTTTACATTAGCGAGGTCAACATGGTTCTCCTCAAGAAAACTGATGAATTCCCGGAAGTTCTCTTCTGTTGGGTGATAGTGACCACTATAGGGCCATATTGCCTGCAAAAAGAAAACATTATATCAGTCATCTTCTTTAATTTTAGGAAAAAAAATATTATCACTGCAGAATTAATAATTGTGATGAAAGAGTTACCTCAAGAATTCCGTCGTGAGCAACTAATCTTCCAGCTGCGGTGGTGGCGCCACCTGCTAGAAAACTGGAGTGTTGAAACGAGCCTTTCTTCTTTTGCGCAACGTACAAAGCCCGACTGGTACTCAGCACAAATATCCATTTCGAACCTTCAATGGTTTCTATAGGCATTCCACTTTGCTTATAAATAAGTTTCCCGTTTTCAACTATTACCTCAAATGCTTCTCTTTCTTTCTGCAATGAAAAAAAAAAAGACAAAAGGAAATTAGATAAACTTCCCATCACGCTGTAAATAAATGAATATCCCATGCATTAATTAATAATTAACTTACTGGTCCAAGATATTTGATACATTGGCGATGAAGAACAGACCTAGGACATTTCTCCAGATTTACTTCTTTACCATCTCCAACATCCAACCTTCATTGCAGAAAGCAGTAAAGTGAATAATAAAGTCACAAAGCAAATTAATCTAAAGGATCTATAATATCTCTAGCTAGAAAAGACAGAGACTTGAAAAGATAATGAAACATTTTAATATACCAGTAAAAGAAAGGTTGGCTGCTCTGGCTTTTAAACCAGACATCATAATACATGTGTAGATTGTGGCCATATCGATGCCGTGGATCAATCTGCTCAATGAATAAAATATAATATATTAGACCAACTACGTATAAATTATTCAAATAGGGCTACACTACAACTACATCTACAAGAGACACTAAAGAAAATCAATTTCTGTAGACTTACAGCTTCAAGCCAATGCTGTAAAGCCAGTTTTTGAGCCTTGTCATCTTTCGACAAGCCCTTCCCCACCTGGCCACGTAATAACAGACAATCAATATAATATATATTTATATATAAAAACATTATGATAATTAATACTTGATTACGAGATAAATTTGGATGTAATAGAAAAAAGTACCTTAGCTACTCTTGTCCTGGCCCTTGCCCACCGTGATACGGCAGTTTCTGGTTTCTCAATATTGAAGAATGACACAGAACTCCGCTTGAGAGCTGCAAAGTCTAATGCCTTCCACCTACATTAATTAATACATAAAAATAGAAATATATTATATATAGAAGTAAAAACAAACAGCAAACAAGATCACAACATATCTAGAAATGGTTGGTGAGACACTAACCACAGCTCCTCAACCACAACCGCACAATCTGCAAGGTTTCTTCGAGTTCTGTAACTCTTATAAACCTTTTGAAGTTTAACTGCAGCTGCATCGAGTTCACTCACTGGTCTTGGTGAAAACAAGATTGCTGGTTCAGGAAGAGAAAGTGCAGGAATGGGATAATGCTTCAATCCCTCTTTTCTATTCAAAGTTTTATTTGAAACTCTCTCTTTGTCTTGAAGCAGATCCTTGAATGAAAAACTTGTTTCAAGTAATACATTTTCCGGTTTGTAACTCTTTAAACTTCTTCTGGTTTTAGTAGTTATGATTTCATCAGACTTGTTGGTCACGTTTTCTGAATCTCTTTTCTTGAAGCTGTTTACCCTAACCGTGACCTCTCCATCTTTGGTATCGAAGCTGATGTTATATGCCAAACTGAAGAACCTATGTTTTAGAATTTCTTCCCACGCTGATAAGAGCAATGAAAGCGATAAACCCATAGATATTCAAGGACCAATCGGCTTCAATTTGTTAGAATACAAGCCTCCACCTGCTCAATATAATTAAGAAAGTTATGATATTGCAAAGTAATACAGAAATGATGAAGTTACAGGCAGAGACAAATTCAGACAAGATGAAATTATAACTGTTGCTTTATTATGAGAAATAGTGATTATTGGTTCTTAAATATTTATTCATTGGTTTTCATTTGTCATATTCTTTAAGTTTTCCTTTTTTAATATCCAATTATTCACTCACAAATCCCCTGGCCTAGTTTTCTTATCTGAAGTACTGACATTAGTCTAACCCGACAAAAGAAGGAAAAAAGCTAATAAAAGCAAAAGCTAAAGCTAAAGCAGAAGGCATGGTGGAACTACACCAACCCCCCAGAATGAATAAAAGAATGAATTGATGTCAAATTATTGAAGCCAGACATTGGATCATTACAAAAAGAACTCTTTGATGCCTATTTACCTGTAGTTAATTCAGAAACCAGTGCTTGATCCAAAAACGTTTTCTTTGTTATTCTCTCTCTGTTTCTCAGACAAATAATGTAAATTTTAAATGGGAAAAGCAAACTCCGGCCCTATAGGTAGAAGAGATGTTGTTGATTCTTGACTACCCCCCGTCTTCCTTTATATACAACAAGAAGTCCACTATATGGCACTAACCCTTCAAAGACGTAACAACCCAACAACAGAGAGGCACAGCAGTGTTTGAATTCTTGCAACAAATGATCAACTCAGAAGGTTTTGAATGGAAAGTTTTTGGTGGGTTGGAATCAAGGAATAGTTTTCCAGGCTGAAGACCACGAGTTTTGATGAATTCAAAGCCTGAACTTTTGAATATCTTGTAGGGTGTGAAACCGGCCTTATATAGGTTGTGTTCTTAATCTAAACATGGAAATGGAAAGATAGAAAGAGGAGAGAGATAGAGCGGTCAAAGAAAGTAAGCCCATGAGGTATTTCCATGAAAAAACACGATATTGCTTTAAAATCTCCACACTTAATCTGTATGTTTTGTTGGGTTTCATTTCATAACAGTCAACAACCGTTTAGTCATGTCTTCGGTCATGCACGCGCCTTTACGTTATGGTGCTCTAAATATGAGTAAGGGCCTTCTCCCACCCAAGGTTTGGCCTAATGACTTTTCCGCCCAAAAAAGTTTCAAAATACAATTTTATTACTCAAACGTTATGTTCAATTAATAATTTTCGTTAAATACAGTGATATTCATTATTGAAGACGAAAATACCCTTTACTATTTGACTTAATTATTGTTATTGTTATTATTATTATTATTATTATCTAAAACAAAACAGGTGGCAAACAACAGTGTCGCTTGAATGATGAATGACGAACAAGTGGGTAGCGGGGTGGTGGGGGTTTTGTAGAGTGGGGGCTAGTGAAGCAAAGAGTGGTGACAACTTGGATTTTGGCCACTAGATTCAGCTAGAATTCAGTTGGAAGCGGCGAAACCCTAATCCAAACGGCATTAGCCAACAATGGGAGCAATTAGGCAATAGTCAAGAGGGTTTTGGAGTATGAGGTTGGGGAATCTAATGGTGGTGACGACTTTGATTTGGACCATCAAAATTAGTTGAAATTCAGCTAAAAGCGGCGAAACCTTTATCCAAACAACGCCGACAAACGGTGGGAGCAATTAGGCAATAGTTAAGGGGTTTTCGGAGTATGGAGGTTGAGGAATCTGGTGGTGGTGAAGGGGCAAGTGAATACCACTGGTTTCAGTCTAGATCGGGCCTAAAAACGGAGGTTGTGCTATCACAAAAATCGTCAAGAAAAGGCCAAATAGGTTGAGAAAATGATTGTTCTTATTGAGGAGTTATAAAAATGGGAAAAAGGTCATGAAATCTGTTAGTTTTGAGGAGAAAATCGATAAAGATCATTGTAAAATGTCGATGGTTGCAAAATGAGAAAAAGGAGAAGCAACTGGCCAAAGAAAGAAGGAGAAAATCGAAATTAGTGTTAATTGACCATCTTACCCTTACTTATAACGGACTTTTGATCATTTTGTTCTTCTTTACAGTGAAATTTACTAACATAACTATGTTGTAGGTAATAAAGTTATATTTTGAAACATTTTGGATGCGAAAATATCATTGGGCAAAACCTAGGGTTGGGAAAAAGTCGTTTACTCTATAAATATTTTATCACCGCTGGCGCTGCTGCATTCATTTTCCCTCTCTTTCTTGACTTGTTATCATAATACATACAATAAATTTCTATCTGCTCCTTCAGTACTATGAACCACCATCAACCTTAATGGTACGAGAGGTTTTTGAGGCGGTAAGTTAACATCATCCACCGTTACTTTTATTTTGTTGGATATTTTATCCCGAAACTGTTGCACCCTATAGTTGAATACATGTACACACATAATTAATTTTTTTAAAAAAATCTGTTCTAGATTTGTCAATTTTTGACTTCCTTATATCTATTTTTCTAAAACTCAAAAAAGGCTACTCATATTCTCTCTTATTCAAAGGAAAGAATGACCATAAAACTATGCTATTATATATATTTATGTTTCTATAAAATAATAATATGAAGCTACATACTAGAGACTATTAATTTATTTGGCACACGAGGAGCATTGGTTTCCCATGAGTTGCAATGGAGGGAAACGTTTTATGAAGACTACCATGTGGTCAAGATCAACTCGATTGGTCAAAATTGAAGACCACTACTAATGTAATGGGAATTTCTAATTTGATTCTATTTTGAACTGTCTATAAATCAGACTTTTCTATGCATTGCCCATCCTTAACGTTGGAAAATTAAGAGATGATTATGAATAATCTTATAGCTATGGCCTCTGAACAATAAAATTTGAAAAAAAAATAATAATATTCTTTAATTAATCTATTATCTAGACCACTGAACAAGCAAAGTTTGGTTTGAAGGCAATTTTATATTTGACTGATGGACTGCCATACATTTTAATTTAAGAATTAATTTAGGCTTGTTCGTTACTTTAAACACGTTCTTCTGGTCCCGGAATGACCACCACACCATTGTTGAGGAGTGCTGGAAATTTCGAGCAGCAACGCCTTGGAAATTTAAATTTACAACTCCCAAGTCTTTTCTAACTTATTTTTCAAGTAAAAATTTAATAAGCAGTCATCCACGTGACAACAACTGGTTAATTTTATTAAATTCTGAAAAGCTATTAGTCAAGTGGGCATGATTGTCATTTTTAAGAAGACAAGCGAGTAAAGGAGACCGACCAAAATTTCTTCGCTCTTGGGGACCCAAAGAAAATGGGCATTTTAGTAAAAAAAAAAAAATAAATTAAGTAACTCTGCTAGCTGTCAGAGTCGTTGATGGGTCGGCAACGTGACGTGTGCCGTACCTTATTTCTTGAATGGCTGCTACGGCAATTGTCAACGTACTAAATTGGGTCTCCCCATTTTATTACCATGAACACCCAAACCAAATACCTTGACAAAAATTAAAAATGGATATTTCAAATATATATATATATATATATATGGATTATTTTGTATGATATAACACTTTACAATATGCTAATAAATAAATTACTAATTTTTGAAATTCATGAGGCATCTCATGTTATAATACTTTAATAAATAAATTAGGGTTAATTACAATAATTTCCTGTAAGTATAATTAATAACAAAAACTCCCCTATATAGAAATAACAAAATTTTCTACCATTAAGTTTTGATATTAAAATAAACTACAAAGAAATATCAGGGATATTGGGATAATTAGGTAGTTATTGATTAAAGCATGAAGATTTTTACTATTTTTTGAAATTGCAATGACAATTTTGCTATTTGATTAAACTTAAAAGGTTGAGAAATAACCCCATATATTATTTTTACATGGAAAAACAATTTGACTTAATTCAGTGAAAAAAAATATTGTGATTATGTTAAAAAATGGTTAAACAAAAGTCTATACCAATACATTTTGTCACGATTAAGTTGGGTCTTTAAATAAAATTTGGTATAATCCGCAACTTGATGATATATTTATAACAAAAATTGATTTCGTCAGCCAAATATTATACCAAATCAGGTTTTAAATATATAGAGCAATACAAATACCAAATCCAGTTGGTGATGATTATTAAGATTAGTTAGAAAATAATTGATTCGAGTGGAATTGAAGGAATCTGAACTTGTCCCGAAAGGATTAGGGCCTTATATTTAAATTGGGTTGATGGACAGAAGTGGGTCTCTGATCCAATAAAACTTATGGAGTTAAAAAATTAAAATACAAGATTAATCATAAATTTATTTAATTATATAAATACATAGCTTTGTTGAATATCAGTAATTGAAATTTAAATGCTGATTGATTATTATTCATTTTTGTATCGTATAATTACATTGTACCTTAAATTATCATGTAATCAGAGGGAGATCAAAGGTTTAAACCTTGAATTCAACATTTATTTATTAAAAATAAATCATCAAAAAGATTATGCACATGTCATTCTTCTAGTATTAATTTCAAGTTGAATAACTGTAAGCTCTATTTCACCAAAATTTACATTTATTTAGTATTTTATATAATTTAATCTGCACATCAAATTTTATGGAATTAAGCAACAGTTACATAAGTCCAAGAGATGCATAATAAATATAGAGCAAACGACATGTTCCCTTTAGGATTTAGCAAAATCTCAAGTTCATACCCATGATTGCATTTATTCTAAATTCTCATTCTTAAACTAACACTGTTAATGAATTTTGAATTATGACTTGTTCTATTACCATCTTGCCCTTCATTTTTGATTTCACCCCACCCAACCACCATCACCACCACCCACCAAACCCACTCAACCATCGTTCATGCCTGATCTGGCTTGATTCTGACGTCGATTGACCAATCCGGAGAATTGCCAGAATTGGAGTCGAAGTGGAGGGGTTTTGGAGAGGGAGATGAAAAGATCATGATGGTGGTGTTGGATTGGGCAATTAGCGCTAGAATCGAGCCAGATTAGGCCTGAACGACAGTCGAGTGGGTTTAGTGGGGGGTGGTGGTGGCGGTGGCCGCGGCTGGGTGGGGGTGAAATCAAAAGTGAAAGGTAGGATGATAAAAACATAAGTCAGAATTCAAAATTAACTTACAATACTTGTTTAAGGGTGATATTTTAAAATAAATATAATCAGGGGTATACACTTATAATTTCGCTAAACCTCAGGTGAGAACTGAGAACATGCCGTTTGCTCATAAATATATATTAATAATTTGTTTTATAATGGTTGTACAATAGAGGAATACACTTGTTAAGTTGTGATTGGTAGATGACAACTGGTAGCGCTTCTAAACAAAATCATAAGCCGCTTTTTAGTGGGACGTAACGTTACATAGTCCAATCTGGCAGACAGCCAGACACACAAAAGATTCGGCTTCCATTTCTCTTCTCCTCTAACGCTGAAATCAGCGATCCAAAATCTCTCTCAACAAACGCTAATGGCAGACTCAACACAATCTTTCCAAGGTACGTACTTATCGTCTTATTTTGGTTAATTCTCTCAATGCTTAAATTCTCTCTCATATATTGAATTGATTATGGATTTATATCCCAACTTTAACCTATTGATTTACATAAGTTTACCAGTGGTGATACTTGCTTTTGTTTTGGTAGAATGTGCATATCTGGTTCTTGAATAAGTCATAGGAATTGATATGTCTTGTTTTAACATTTGATGCTCCGTTATAATAAAAACAGTCCACATGGACTGCGTTGGATTCTTGTTTGTTTGTTTCAAATTTGCAGTTTCTTCTCCTAAAGCATGAAGTTTATCAGCAACCCAAGGCGACATTTGTTGTTCTCTTTACTTTTTCATCGTTTGTTTTAAATTGCATCTACTATTCATGCCTAATGGCTTGATGTTTACCACCATATTTATCGCAAAATGGTGCCCAACATTTTTTCATTTGTTGTATGTAGAAGCCGAACTGAGCGTTGATGCATTTAAAATTCTGTAATGTGGCAGATAAAGATACAAAAGCACCCAATATATTTGAAAGTGCGAATGAAAAGATTGAAGCTGTTTTACACACTGAAAGAACACTTAACAATCACAAAGAGACTCACGGTATGCCAAATGGCATTGATGAAAACACCCCTTTAAGTGATGTCAAAGCGCCTAATATGTTTGAAAGAGCCAAGGAGGAGATTGAGGCTCTTGTTGAAACAATCCATCAGAAGATAGAGTCTCAAACTAATGAAAAAAGGTTTGAATAATGAATGAGAAATTTAATTTGAGGGGTTTTGTTTGGTTATCTAATTGTTGTTGTGTGATATTTGATTCAGGAATCAATCTTCAAAGGCAGGGTCAAATCAAGAGAAATTAGATTCTTTGACAGGTATGAATTCCCATTCTGATATGTTCATTCAGGCTTTAGACAGCTTTATGGTGGTTTTGATTTTTGATTGCTCTTTCCATGTCTAAGATATTTACCAGTTGGAAAAGTTTCAGTGCTAATATACAATATTCTCCTGTTTTGTTATAAGCATTGTTAAATTATTCCTTCTTTGATTGTTGAACCTCAATGTTAACAGAGAAAGAGGTCAAGGCCCCGACTTTAATTGAAAGAGCAATGGAAGAAATTGAAGCTCTCATCCACCACGAAAAGTCGCCGCCCCATCATCATAAAGAAACACCTGGAAGGAGTGATGACATCAACGAGAACACACCCATTAATGAAGTTAAAGCACCAAATGTATTTCAACGAGCAAAGGAAGAAGTTGAGGCACTTGTTGAAACAATCCATCCCAAGAAAGAACCAACCAAGTTTACCTCCTCATCTAAGAAGGAAGGAGGATTCTGGTCTTCCATTGCAAGGATTTTGGAAAAAGTATGCTCTCCTTTGGCTACAAAGAGAGATTAATATCATCAGGGATCAAAGCCTAAATACAGAGATTTGCGTTAGGAATTTGTTTTTTGTTCTGTCAAGTTTGTGTGAATGTTTACGAGTAAGTGAATACATTGTAACAAATATCATATCACATTGAATCTAGCCTTGCTATAAACATTTTATGCTTGAAAAAGTAGGGCTGACACAGAGTCTTGCTAGCATGGGGTGGTCAGAACTTAGGAAGGTTTTGCGACCGTTCATAATGACGCAAGTGGCATGCCACTGTCAGTGCAGTGGGTGAGTGCCAGGTTAGTGGATGGTTGGAAATCGTCCACATGTCCAATCCCTGCGAGAGTCGAGGAAATCACTCTGGCAGGTGAGCAATGGGACGCAGAGAAGAATTTGCACAGTACCCACCCACTTGCAGATTTAGTAATCATTACCTTGGTTTATCTCACTATAAATAGAGGCCTTGCCTCTCATTTGCAGGATTAGCTAATTTTCCTCCAGAATAGCTTTCTCTCTCTCTCTCTCTCTCTCTCGTATTCTCTAAACTGTAACTCAGCTCGCTGAACGTGACCTGACCTTACTGAGTAATACAATATCAGTGGACGTAGGATTCGTTTTTGAGCATCCAAACCACTTTAAATATTGCCTTTCACCCATTATTAAAGAATAATGCTATATGCACTAACCAAAAACCATACAACCTAAGCACTAACTGACGTGGCAGACAGTTCCCCACAAAAACTAAAAAAAAAAAAAAATAATAATAATTCAAAATTTCAATTGTTAGTACTTGGATTAGTATAATTTGGTTAGTGCACATAGCATTACTCATTATTAAATTCAATCCCCTCATATCACGTGCGACTTCTAATTCTCTTTAGCATTTCTCACGTGCGAATAGTTGGTGTTAAAATCAAGCATCAACAGTTTGACGCTAGAAAAAGGGACTGATTTATTACCTACTCTTCATCAGAAAAATCTATGCTAATATGTCCCACCACAGCAAATGGCTCGTGGTTTCGAATATGAGCGAACCAATTATGGCAATGAAGAGATCCCCTAGGTATAGGAGGACACTTCTCCTGAAGTGTCGCCAGTCCAGCAGGATATCATGTGGGATATCCCTTCAAGCTCGTGGCTTGATCCTACCATCATGAGTTACTTGGAAAGATTCAATAATACTCTCCAAACGGTTAGCCAAAGGCTAAACCGATTGGATCAGGTCGTGCCACCTGAATCCAATGAGGTGGTGCCACCGTCAAAAACGCCTGCAGGTCACGTGAAAGCGCGGAAGAGGGCGAAAGCTCATGCCACGCGTCAAAGAAAAGGAAAGCAAGTGGCACCCAGCGAACCCAAAGGCTCCGAGAGACTAACAAACACCATCTTGCGCCACGTTGCACGAGCACTCCCACAAAAGTGCAAGGCGGGGAGATTCCCATTATCGCCAAAGTGACGACTTCGATCATCATTGTGCAGAGGATTCCCATCGTCCGCGGGTCAGTTGGTACCACCGCAGAGGTCGGAAAGATTCCCCGAACCGCTCAATGCCATCACACGGCTCCAGCCAGTATGTGTTGAGATTGGCCGAAACCCCTAACCAAGGTGAGGAAGAGTCCGATTTGCGGTCTCTTCTCAACCGCAACTGTGAGGATCGAACCCACGTTGCGAAAATTGATCCCCAGATAGCTCCGCTGCCTAAGATTGAGGAGCTACAGAAGCTCTGGATCAGCTTAAGGCTCAACAAAATGAGCAAGGGTAGGTCGCAGAGGCGTCTCCCTTTTCTCCAGTAGTGTTAGCCGCCCCTCTCCCGTCAAGATTCAAAATGTTCGACATGCGAGCATTCGATGGGAATTTCAACGACATCATGGAACTCCACCAAGTCTCTGACTTGGCAAAATGTCGTTGCTTGGCGGTAACCCTTACTACCCATGCCAAGTGATGATTTAGGTAACTCCCAGTAGGATCAGTCAACTCGTGGCCTCAAATGAGCTCGACATTTCTGAGGCACTTCCAGGTAAACAGGAAGTTCTCAATGCTGCTAAGCTATCTGAGCAACATACGACAAAATAAGGATGAATTCCTCTAATCTTATATACAGGGGTTCCACAGGGAGCTCCACAAAGTGGCTCACACTCCCAAAAAGTCCGTTCGGACTCTCATTATGGCGGAAGTTTGCACGTAGATAGACTTGTGGAAGGAGCTGCAATCTGAGGATGACGTTTCCCTCATTTGCTTCTACAACCTTACTAAAAAGTACCTCTAGATTGAAAACTCCATGGCTGCGCTCAATCGCCACGACCCCAGTCCTTCGAGTAGTGCTCCCAACCGGGGGGAGAATAGGAGGGTTGATCGCAGATGGGCTAATGACGATCAACGAAAAGGAAAGAAGCAGCAGTACGAGCCCAAGAAATCCTATGCCCCAGTTCCTTGTCACGATTGCAACAAGAGTCAATACACTACTTGAATGCCTCAGTATCGGCTATTCTGGATAAATCAGAGGAGGCCGGTTTGCTTGGAGAGCCTGAACTCATAAAGAATCCCACGTCGACCAAAAATAATAAAAAGTACTACCGTTATCATCGGGATAATGGGCACCACACCGATGAGTGTCGGGCCCTCAAGCAAGCAATTGAGGACCTTATTAAGTAGGGGCACTTCAAAGAGTATGTCGATGACTTTGCTCCCGTTTGGGAGAAAAATCAAGAGGAACCAGAAAAGAAGTATCGTGGTCGCAAAGGTCTCCATTGTGTAGGGATCATCTTTGGAAGACCGCACCTCGCAGGGAACTCTCGAGGTGCCCAAGAAAGGTATGCTCGCGCAGCCCGTCATGACCCGTAAGTGTGATGACTGATGAGCACGATGCCGCGACCTGCCAAGGTTCATAGGGAGGAGGAAATCACCTTCTCTGAGAAAGATGCGATGCAATTGCATCATTCCCACGACGATACTCTCGTCATCGCGCCTGAAATAGGTTGGTGCAAGGTCCACAGAATGTTGGTGGACAATGGCGAGCCTTCGAGAAGATGAAACTAGACGAGGCAGATCTAAAGCCTACCTCTATCCTTTTGTCTGGTTTCACCAGGGATCATTTGATTCCCAAAGGGATGATCTCGCTCCAGGTCACGTTGGGAGAGACCAATGAGATGACCAAAATGACTAAGTTCTTAGTAGTGGACTGTCCATCCGCTTTCAATGGCATCTTGGGATGACTTCTACTACGAAGTTTCAAAGCAATCACTTCAATCTACCATCTGAAGATGAAGTTCCCCACTCCGACGGGGATAAGGGAAGTAATTAGATCTCAACGCACATCTCGCGACTGCTATGTAAGGGCAGTGCAGATGGCGTGCAAGGGAAAAAGAACTCTAATCGGCATCCCTAAGCAGGCAATGACGATCAGCAGGATATAGCCACAGCTTGACCCAGTTGAGGATAACATGGATCCTCGCATCCAGGAATGCCCTCGTAGTGGGTCGGTCGAGGACCTATCTAAGGTATCGATTGATCAAAGCGAGCCGAGTCGAGTGTTGAGAATCGGAAGTAATCTCAACCCCTAGCTCGCCAAAGACCTGACCAACTTCCTCAGGAAAAATATCAACGTATTCGCATGGACTCATACTAACATGGTCGGGATCAGCCCGAATATTATATGCCATGCCTTGAATATTAATGGTGAGGTCAGGCTGGTTCGCTAGAAGAGAAGAGCAATAGATCCCGAGCGATGTACTGCCTTGAAAATTGAGATAGATAATCTCCTCTTAAACAGATCCATCCGAGAGGCACTCTACCCGAGCTGGGTTGTCAACCCGGTCTTGGTAAAGAAGCCTAACGACAAATGGCGGACCTGTGTTGACTTTACCGATCTTAACAAAGCCTATCCAAAAGACATCTTTCCCTTGCCAAGAATTGACCAGCTCGTTGATGCCACCTCTGGGCATGAGCTGCTGAGTTTTATGGATGCATACTCGGGATATAATCAGATTCTGATGTATGCGCCGGACGAAGAGCATACCTCATTTGTTACAGATCGGGGGCTATATTGCTATAAGGTTATGCCCTTTGACCTAAAGAACGTTGGGGCGACTTACCAGTGACTGGTTAACCGAATGTTTTCCAAGCAGATCAAAAAATCAATGAAGTCTATGTTGATGACATGCTGGTCAAATCGCATATCGCTTCAGATCACATATCGCATCTCGCTTCAGATCACATAGCGCGTCTCGCTGATATGTTCGTTATACTCCGGAGGTATAGAATGAAGTTCAATCCTCTCAAGTGTTCATTCGGAGTATCCTCAGGAAAATTCCTGAGGTATATGGTTAACCAGAGGGGAATAGAAATCAACCCCAAAAAGATCCAAACTCTCATTGATATGAGAAGCCCGACCAACCGAAAACAGGTTTAGAGTCTCAATGGGTGAATAGCGGCTTTCAGTCGCTTCATATCAAAGGCAACAGATCGCTGCTTTCCATTTTTTAATATACTTAGGGCCAATAAGAAGTTCAAATGGACTCCCGAATGCTAACAGACTTTCTAGAGCATCAAAGAGCACTGCGGAAAGCCACCTCTTCTGTCCAAGCCTCTCCCTCAGGAAATTCTTCTTTTGTACATGTTCGTCTCTCAGCATACAGTCAGTGCAGCTCTAATTCGGGAAGAAGATAAGGTCCAATGGCCGGTATATTATGCGAGCAGATGTCTACTGGATGCCAAAATGCGATATCTAGAAATGGAGCGATTAGCTTATGCCCTGCTGATCGTCTCTAAGAAGTTGCGACCTTATTTCCATGCCCACACAATCCATGTATTGACCAACTATCCACTCAAGCAAGTCCTTCAGAAACCAGAGGATTCAGGTAAGCTGCTCAAGTGGACGATGGAACTAAGTCAGTTCGATCTACAGTACAGACCGAAAGCAACCATTAAAGGGCAGGTTGTTGTCGATTTCATTTCGGAGTTCTCACACCAACCGGTTAAGGAATCCGAGCAACAGGACAATGAAGTCACCCAGGAACCATTTAGAATCTATTGACCTGGAGCCTCTATGTCAATGGATCCTTAAACAGGAAAAGGGTCAGGGCAGGCCTTCTCCTCCTTAGTCCCGAAGGGACTTGTATCCACGTTATTCTTCAGTTTGGGTTCAAAGCAACCAACAACGAAGTTGAGTACAAAGCATTGCTTGCTGGTTTGCGGTTGGCAAGAGAAATGGGGTCAATCGCGATCAGCATTCACAGCGACTCCATGGTGGTTGTTAACCAGATCTTGGGAGAATATCAGGCCAAGGAAGAAAACATGATCAGTTATTTGAAAAAAGCTAAGGTCGCGCTCGAGCCATTCAAGCACTTCACGATCACGCAGATTCCTAGAGACAGTAATTTTGTTGCAGATGCCTTGGAAAAAATAACTTCGTCGCTATACTCAGATGCACTAGAGAGTATTCTTGTTCAGT